AACCGTCCCCGGTGTTTTTGAAGCAGGAGGCGGACAGTCCCCACGTCCGGACGCGTTCCCTGGACAGGTTAGCAGGAAGTGACCGTGCTCTGTCCAGAAGCCAGCAGAGGCCACCACTCGGTGACCTGTAAACTACAGCAGCTCTCAGAAGCTCTAGATCTCAGCCCAGCTCGGTCACTCGAAATGGAGTGAAAGTGAATGTTGTGAAAAACAAAATCTGAATAAACAGAACAGTTTTCTACAGAGGTTTAAGCGCAGGGGCCTTGTAGGATCTGCAAGTTTTTGCGATTTCTCCAAAATCATTATGCCTTTTAGAAAAGTCTGTTGAGCCCTGATGATGAGCTAGGCTCTGGGGTTATCTGGGCAGACAGAAGGAAGGTCCCTGTTCCTGCTGGGGCTTCCAGCTTCGTGGAGGAGAAACGCAGGAAGTACAGTCATCTTGTGGCAGCGACACACCTGCGGCTGCGGAAAGGGCTTGGGAAGAGGGCCCATGAGGCTGTCAGGTGCGACACCTGCACGGGCTGGAAACACCCACACGGGCTAGAAACACCCGCACGAGCCAGGAAACAAGTGAGGTTCTTTGCTGCAAGTACATTGCTTGATTTTAGGAAGGATCCTCCTGGACAGTGACTTGGGACTTTGAGCGGATTTGTGCCATGGAGTAGGGCAGTTAGGGGCAGCGTTTCACCTGCCGCTGATTATGGAAGCGTCGGGGGATTCCCGGTATCACTTCAGTAAAAAGAGGATTATTTCATTGCTCAACATTTGGTTGTGTGTAGACTTTGACATAAGAAGCCTTTCTTTTCCTCTTTAAAAAAAGTTTGGAGACGAGGAGCTCTCACTGGACTGTGAGCTGCTAGGGACGGGGGCTGTCCTGGGTTCACCTTTGTGTCTCCAGTTCTCAGCGGGCTCAGAGAGCCTGAGTGAAGGTCATGGCTGTGCTGCCAGCCCAGAGGGAGGCCTGTAGAGACCACGGGCACCGCAGGGCGTGCCCACCACTCTGTGTGTGACTCAAAGTAAGTGTAAGGGAGTCCCATTTTGTTTTGTGTCTGAAATATTAGAGGTCAGGAGGGGTTCTGGGTGTCAGGTGTTGCTGGTGCCTGCACATGCCAGCCCTGCCTGTTCCATGACCACATGCCCTGCCATGTGAGGATGTTGTGGACACAGCCCCGAGCAAGGCAAGACTGTACCTCATTCTGTTCCAAGAAGGGGAGCTGTTTTGTTCTGCCATTCTGGAAAATTGTGAACGTGCCGTTGGAAGAGATAACGTGGGGGCGGGCGGGCACACGTTGTTTTAAACAGATAAGAAGTACATATTGCGTGTGGGGAGGGAGTCTGGAGAGATGCCCTTGTTAGGACATGTGACTTCTTCAGAATCATTATAGGTGATATATTGGAGCCAGTCTGGATGTCAGCATTTGTGGGGTTAAGAGGAAGGTAGGGGTTGTCGTTAATTTGAAGTTTATCTTCCGAGCACACGTAGAGTGGTGAGTGGGGCTGGACCAGGGTGCTCGGGTGACGTTGGAGATAAAGTGTCGTGTCGTGTGTGTGTTTTTAAATCGAGAGACCAAAAGAGCTGAGTTGAAGGGAAGGAATCCAAAAGTTAGTTTGTTCATTTTCAGAAAAACAAATACAAAACCCCTTTTTCAAAAACACAGCTTTGCACTTGAATAATAATACTTTCATCTGTTCAGCAGTTTGCTGAATATGCCCCTAAACTGTGTGCCCCGAAAACTTTGATATGTCGTTTGCACTGGAACTTTATAACAGGCGGCTCTGCGTCTGCAGTGTTTGCAGGTGCGTGGAGAGTGGCGTGGGCAGCACGTGCACCCTCCCGCTCAGGAGCTGCTGTCCTCCTCTGTTCCGGCTGTGCTGCAGCTGGCAGTCGCCTTCCTGCGGCGTGGCCTGCAGGCTGCTCTAGGGTCCCTTTCTGCTGATCATTCTTCATCTTATCCCTTTGGCCAGAAGGAGTCTTGAAAGCTGCAGGAGCGCGAGGCGCCGGGTGTGGACCGGTGGGATAGGTGGGGCTTCACCAGAGCCTGTCGCTGTGCCCGGCAGATAGAGGGGGCTGGCGGCGCTGACCCTCGCTGCGAGATTAGGGCGGCACTCCCCCCCCTGCGGTCCTTTGTGTGCGGGGCCCTCCCGGCAGGTCCCGATTAGACTGTGAGCAGCACCCACTCCCACCCCGCCAGGTTCAGCTGGAGCCTGTCGGGGGGCTCAGGACGGGGGCGCCTCTCACTTGATTAAAAAGAGGGGGCTGTGTGGTTTGAGATCAGGGCTGCCCCTAGGACATGGCACCTGCTGGCAGCAGCTACTGAGTTTACAGTTACAGTTTCTGAAGCTGGACTGCTGTGTTAGTCTGTTTCTCTTGCTTAGAACAAAATACACGGAACTGGGTATTTTATAAAGAAAACAAAATTTGTTGCTTCTAGTTTCCAAGGGTGGGAAGTCCGAAGTCTGGGGAACACATCTGGCGAGGGTCTTGGTGGTGTCGACAGTGACCCAGGGGTCTCACATTGCAAGGTGGTGGAAGCAGAGAGAGTCTCACCGCTCTTTTCAAGCCCTCAGAACCACGCCCCTGACCACCATGTTTAATCCATTCACTACTGTCCCTCTGTCTGATCACTTCTTCAAAGCCCCACCTTAAATGACCATAATAGGATTTCCCATCCTCAGCAGTTACAGTGGAAATCAAGCTTCTAATATGTGGACTTTGGGAACACAGTTCAATCACACACAGCAACCGCGAAGTGACCATGGTGAGTGGGGGCTGGACCAGGGTGCTCGGGTGGCTCTGTCTCCCTGCACCAGACGTACCAGGCGCAGATCTCACTCCATGAGCTGGAGGGTCTCCTCTGAGTTCCTCCCCTCGTGTCTCCATTTCCTTCCTGTCCAGCTCAGTGCCAGGCCTCTCCACTCCTGCGTTCCTGTCACACTGTCTGTCTCCTGCAAGTGTCCCCCAGACTCCCCCAAACCCAGTGTGTCTGAAAATCCAGTTACCTTCCTCCACAGAACTAGACTAGAGAGACTAATGGCTAACAAAGGGTGGGACAAAGGAATTTTCTGCTGAGTCATCAGGACGGCGACTTCCAGAGCTGCCGGACCCGAGGGAGATACTGTCTCCATCTTTTGGACCCTCAGTCCCACGGGCACGCCTGAGGAGCAGGGTACTGTGAAACAGGACGCCAGGCCTTACACCAGTGAGATGGCCCTTGGGTCATGGTATTCAGTTAGATTGTGATTATGGGTCTTTAAGCCAGGTGCATGGAATTTCTGAGCTGCCAGGTCTTGCCTTCCTCCATGGTCTGATAGACTTTACTGCCTCCTTTGCCAATTCCAGTCATTCGTTCAACAAGTATTTTTTTTTTTTTTAAAGATGACCGGTAAGGGGATCTTAACCCTTTGACTTGGTGTTGTCAGCACCACGCTCAGCCAGTGAGCGAACCGGCCATCCCTATATAGGGATCTGAACCCAGGGCCTTGGTGTCATCAGCACCGCACTCTCCCAAGTGAGCCATGGGCCGGCCCTTCAACAAGTATTGATTGAGATTTTCCTGCGTGACTGTGACTGCAGGCAGTGGGGGTACAGCAGTCAACAAACACAGACCACAGTCTTCTGTGCCCAGTGGAGAGACGGTGAACAGGTGAAGCGTGAGGGATCCAGGAGGTGGGAGCGGGGCAGGCAGTGTCTGTGTTATAGGTGAGGTGGCCAGAGCAGTCTGGCTGGGGAGTGAGGGGTGTTGGAATAAAAGCCTCACACGATCGTGCGAAATGCTCCCTACGTAAGAGGCTCGTGCTTCTCTTAGGGCTCTGTTCGCCAGCTAGACAGCATGTCGGCGCTTGGTTTCCCCACGCTCTTTATTAAGGTCCTATAAAAGTAAGACGGTCACCGGAGGTGTCAGCATTAGCCACAGCACACGTAGAGAGGTAGTTGCCATTTGCAGAGTGTTGGGACCCCATCTCTCATCTGTGCTGCGCCCGCCGGTTCCTCATAGGTAATAGATACACATGGCACCAAACTCAAAATGCACTCATTGGAAAGGAAGTCCCCTCCTGCCACCCGGCCACCCAGGGCCACTCTTAGAAGGAGCCCTTGTCACCTGTTTCTTTCTGCCCTTCCGGAGATGTTCTGTGCATATGTAAACCTGAAAAACCAACAAGCAAAACAGCCGCACAGGTGTTAACATCTGTGTGCTGGACTTTGTCCGCTGGCTGAGTATATCTTGGTAGATTGTGCCATGTCAATACCTATAGTCAGCTCATTTTTTTTAATGACTGCATAATATTTATAAAATAAATGCTCCATAACTGACTTAAAGTGATCCCCGTTGATGGATGTTTAGATTCTTTTGCCTGTGTAAGCGATGCCGTAGTGAACATCCTCAGATCTACACTTTTTGCATACACCTGTGGGCAGGTATCTGTAAGTTAAATTCTCAGGGTGGCATTTGTAGACCAAAAGGAATGTGCATTTATATTTTGATGGATTTGTGATCCAATCGCTCTGTCGAGATAAGCCAGTTCATGTTCCCAGGAACAGTGTAGGTGCCTCCTGCCCCACAGCGTCACCAGCACGGTGTGGCATCAACCCGTTTGATCCCTGCCAGTCCAGTACATGAAACGTGATATCTTTATAGTTTAAATTTGTGCTCCCCTTATTATGAGTGCAGTTATCTGTGATGTGTGTTGTCCCTAATTGGATTTTCTCAATATTTTCTTTTCTGATAAGACTCTCTCCCCACGGTCTGTTTCTTAGGCGCACGAACAATTGTGTTCTTACTTTCACATCATGCTGATAGGCCAGTGCTGTGTTCTCCAAAGCGATAACATTGAGAAGGAACATATCACGTGTGTAATGCATCCCTGAAACGCTTTCCAGAGCTTGTTTAGAGTGTTCTGAGATACTAGACATGAACAAGAGCTTTACCTGGATAGTCTGATCTTCCAGCTAAGGTGCAGAGATGCCAGGGAGTAAGGCTGTGTAGCAGGAACGTAGGAAAATGACCCGAGATGGACACGGGGACAGGGAGGGCCCAGTCGTTCCTGGTGAGGAAGAGGTGATCAGACCAACAAATGGTCTGCTTGGCTCAGGGTCGGTCCCTCATTCCTCATCGTTGTCCTGCCACCGTCTGGTTCTCCCTTGAGTCGGGTCCAGCCGCGAAAGGGAGGAAACTCCTGCTTGCTGAACTCAGCCCGTGCTCTGGGGCCTCACCCCGAGGCTGACCCACCGCCAGCTGAGCACGCGCCCCTGTTTTCCAGCCGCAGTTGGATTTCTGGCTGTGTCCAGCGTCATCACCATGTCCGCCCCTTTTTTCCTGGGGAGGGTCATCGACATCATCTACACCCACCCGGCCGTGGACTCCGGCGGGGACCTGACCCGCCTCTGCCTCGGGCTCAGCGGCGTGTTCCTGTGCGGCGCCGCTGCCAACGCCATGCGCGTCTACCTCATGCAGACCTCGGGTAAGCGCTTGGGGGGCCCTCTCCTCCCTTCCCAGCGCCACCTTCTGCGGGGACAGACCCCGGCGTGGTGGCGGTTGTTGTTTGGACAGAGCGCTGTCTTCTCACTCTGCTGCTGGGTGGTCCGGCTGGGCAGGAGGGAAGCAGCCCTCCCTGCTGTTGGGGGCTCGAGCGCGGCAGGAGTCCGCCTTCCTCCGGGAGCCATGTGCCCTCGGTGGCAGCTGGAGTGCTCACGTCTCCAGTGATTCTGTGACCAGGCCGCTGCTGACAGGCAGGTCACTGCCCGGTAGTGAGAGCGCCCATTTAGATGGTACAATGCTGTGCGGGTCATTGACCTGAAGGCTCGATACAGGGAAGGGTCGCAGGGGGAACAGGAGCAGCTTTTGCCAGTTAACGTAATGGGACTGCGTTGCAGAAACAATTTAAACGGCCGCTCAGTCGCATTCTGTTTATTCTACCTGCACAGCCTCCCCGTAGCGTCCAGCCTGCAGCTCATTGCTAATGCATGTGGGGCGAGGGTGGGTCTGTCCTCACTGCTGGGACACTGTGGGGAGCTGTGCTCAGGGGCTGCCCTGGGTGGGTGGCTGCACAGCAGGTGGTGACAGGGCTGTCCCAGCGCCTGCTCTCGTTTGCTTTCTCAGGTCAGCGCATCGTGAACAGGCTGAGGACCTCCTTACTGTCCTCCGTTCTGAGGCAGGAGGTCGCTTTCTTTGACAAGAATCACACAGGAGAATTGATCAACCGCCTGTCCTCGGACACTGCACTCCTAGGGCGCTCAGTGACTGAAAACCTCTCCGACGGGCTCAGGGCGGGGGCCCAGGCAGCTGTGGGCGTCGGGATGATGGTACGTCGGGCCCCTGGGTGGGAGGTGAGCTCGGGCGAGCTGTCCTCGTGGCCCTGCTCTGCGAGCGCATGGAGCCCCAGGCACGTCCGATCTGCAGCATGCGGGGCCGCCTCTCGCTGCCTGGCCTGCCCCGCCCATGACTGGGTGTCCTGAGCACGTGCGAGCCCGGGTGTGAAGGCAGCCCTGGGGGTGCCGGGCCAGGGGGGCCTTCCACGCTGCTGTGGGCCTCAGTGGATCTGGGCTCGGCAAAGGCAGCTCTCCTCACCCCAGGCTCTTCTCGGAGTGCTTGGCTGGGGGGCTCGAGCTGGTATGAGCTTTCCTTGGTCTTCCAGGCCCCCCTCCATTCACACCAGCGCCGCCGCCAGTAGAGATGTGGCACGAGGGAAACAGATCAATTTGAATAGTATGCTTCGTTTAACCCAGGATAAGCGAAATACTTTCATCCCAACATGTCATTAATATCAGAGTAATCAATAAGATATTTTATATTATTTTCTTCATATTATTATTTCAAAATCTGGTGTGTATTTTGCACTTATGGACCATCTCTATCCGGGTGCTGCCATTTCATTGGAAATACTTGATGTGTATTTAGATTGCGTAACATCTGCAATTGAAAAATTTAGGTTGATGTACCCAAGTTTTCCAGATGTACTTGAAAGTTTGCCAATAACTGAAAGGAAAATTGGTTTTTAAAATTAAGTTTAAATTAACTCAAACTAAATAAACTTAGAAGTTCATTTTCTCAGTCACACCTGCCACCTATCAAGTGCCCACAGCTATGTGAGGTTCTAGACCCGTGGAGGGAGGACCATGGCGCTTTCTCACACGTAGGAGAGTCTGGGTATTGTCCCCTCTGTGTCCCACACAGCATCTGGTCCAGCACAAAAGGCTGTTTTAGATCTAACGGGTTGGAAATCTCCACTGGAAACTTTGAAATCTCGTGTCTTCCCAGCTGAGAGACAGGCAGAGCTCTGGAAGAAGACCCTTCCTGCACTAACGTGCCATTTTTCAAATACAAACAGTTCTGGGACCAGGAAGAATTCAAGTGGGGAAAAAGCACATGGACATGTCTTTTTGTAACAGTGAAAGAGAATTTGGTGTAGGTCACACGGCCAACTCAAAGGGCCTGTCTTATAGGCTGCTTGAACTGGCAGAACCCAGTACCACAGACGGGTCTTACACAAAGGAACTATTCCTCACGTTCTGGAGGCTGGAAGTCTAAGGTCAAGGTACTGCAAAGTAGCTTCATTCTGTAGCTGCTTCTCTTGCTTTTAGGTGGCCACTGCCTCACTGTGTGCTTGCATGGTGGACAGCGCATGCTTTCTCCTGTCTCTTATAAGGACACTAATCCTACTGGATTGAGGCCCCACCCTTATGACTTCACTTGACCTTAGTTACTTCCCCAGAGGCCCCTTCTCCAAACAGCCACATTGGGGGTTAGGGCTTCAGCATATGAATTTGGGGGAGACACAGACATTCAGTGCATTCCAGGGCCCCATGAGGTGGCATCACTCAGGATCTGGTCTTTAGCTCTAGAGAAACAGAAACAGTTTGTTTCTCCTGCGCAAACTTCCTGGCCCTGAATTACGGTAAGTGCCTCACAGGTTCTGATATTGTCTGTGGCATCCTGCCAGTTTATTAATTCACATGGTGGGTCTTCCTTCCTACCACAAAGATGTGTGTTTCTGACATTCCAGATGCTCCTTTCTGGTGCCGGGACACTGCATTAGTCATCAGAAGGTCACTCATTCAGCGTGGAACCAGAGCAGAGGGCAGAGGGTGGATCTGGGGCAGGTCACCGAGGCCATCGGGAATCTCGGGGGACAGTGCTGCCCCCCCCCCACAGGGAACCACTGTTTAGTGCTCCACTTGATCCATGGCCTCCAGACCCCAGAACTGTCAGGCCTGCCCTGATCACCTCCTGTGTCCTGATGGTGGCCCTCAGAGATGTGTCTGGGCTCCCTGAGGCTGGACCCAGGGTCGGGATGGACCAGTCTGCTCCTCCGTGGGCCTGTGAGCAGCTGCTCTTTGGTCCTGGTGGAGAGGTCTTCCAGGACCGCGTCACACCTGCAGTTGTGCATGCTCTCGTGTGTTGTCTCACTCCCAACCTCCCCTCTCGCTGCGTGGAAGCCGTGGGGGTCTTTACCTCCCAGGTGCCTGCAGCAGCGCGTGCTGCGTGCAGCGTCTGTAACGGTGTGTGGTGAGAGTGGGTGCGTGGATGACTGGTCATCCGTCTGTTCCACACGTTCCAGCTGCAGCTTGTCCTCAGCATTTCAGGAGAGCTGGTGCTGATGGCACTATTTTCCGTGCAGTGACATCAAGCACGTTTTAACAATCTGTTGAAGAGGTGCTAGTATGTTTAGAACACAATCACTGCTTCTAGAAGTCGGTTGTCATTGGAGCAGCTGCAGCTTCGAGAGGCTGCACTGCACGTCGAGCCCGGGGCTGGGGAGCTGACCTCGTGCACCGAGCCAAGAAAGCAGCTCCACCCTCCTTCTGTTTGTTTGTCATGTCCCTGGGTCCTCTTCCATGTGACGTGGATGTTGTGGTGACTTCCCCATCACAGTCATTTCAGCTGTGCTTGCTCGGTGCCTTGAGGTGACCCGGATGGGAACACAGAAGCCCTGGGTGGCCTGGCCAGCCTGGCGCTGAGGGGCCTCCCTGCTGGGTCCATCCTGGCCCCTGCGCTCTGTTGTGGATCGACGTGGCCTGGTTTACCTGGTGGCTTAGCTGGTGTTGGTGTGAGGATAAAACATCGCCGTCCTCTCCTCTGCAGCTGTCGGTACCGTGACTTCTGTATGGCGCGCTGAGTATTCACGGGGCTTCGTCAGATGAACGATGCCTGAGAGGTTCCGCCAGGACGGGCTGAACCACTCGGAGGCAGCACCCTCAGGCCTGCTGTCGCCTCAGACGCGCACCCGCAGCAGGCAGCGGCAGTGTCTTGCCTCCGTGTAACAAGCACCTCTTTTTGTTGTTTCTGACAGTTTTTTGTCTCACCTAATCTGGCCACCTTCGTTCTGAGTGTGGTGCCTCCACTGTCCATTGTCGCTGTGATTTATGGACGGTATCTACGGAAACTGACCAAAGTCACCCAGGACTCCCTGGCACAGGCCACTCAGGTAAAGGCCCCTTCCTGTCCTCGTGGTCTTGAGCCGAGGTGCTAAAGAGCTGACCCCAGGGACGTGGTTAGACTTTTCAGTAAAGGAGCTTCCTTTCTTCATCTGACACCCCAAGACCCCAGATCACTAAACTTGTCTCTTCTGGACTACATTGCTACCCACATCTCAGAGCAGACCCAGCCCGACTGACCTCTGTGCGAGCTTCTCACTTTGTGCCATCACTATTTCTTATAGGACAAAAAAAGCTAATCATGTTTTGAAAGTAGCTTCTGGATGATACCGTGTCTTTCCTTAAATTAATTAAGCTAGCTTTGCAGGGCTGTGCAACATCATCTTATTAAGAATGAAAAATAACTATTATATTTTCATGCTACAAAAACCGTGTGTGTGTATCATTGAAAAATATGCAAATATAAAGAGAAAAAACAAAGACATGCGTAATTCTGTCTCTCAGAATTAACCTGTTAACATGTTGGAGTCTTTCCATTCTTTCTTTTTCTCTGCATAAAAATATGTTTCTGCATCTTCCCGCACTTCAGTATTTCTATCTATATGATGTGTGTAGGCGTGTGTGTGTGTGTGTGTGTGTGTGTATTTTTTTTTCCCCCAAAATAGAGCACTTCTGTGCACTCTGTCACTTTTTTTGACTTAGTCACACATCCCCAGCCGCTTTCCATGGATAGTCTCAAAAATGAGAAGCTCATTTTAATTTTGCTTCTAGAAAGTCTTGAATTGTGACCCTCCTGAAATGTTTTTATTTTTCTCCCAGCTAGCCGAGGAACGGATTGGAAATATAAGAACCGTTCGAGCTTTTGGGAAGGAAATGGCTGAAATAGACAAATACGCCAGCAAAGTGGACCGCGTGATGCAGTTGGCGAGGAGCGAGGCCCTTGCCCGGGCGTGCTTCTTCGGAGCAGTGAGTAGATGGTTCTGGATAGAACAGAAAGGGCAGATATTATGACAATGACAGGTTTCTACTTGCTGGCTCTTAACATAAATAAAAAAAAGTTTTGTTCTGGGCCGGCCAGGTGGCGCACTGCTACAGTGTGCCGCTTGGGAGTGCGGTGGCGCTCCCGCTGAGGGTTCGGATCCCACATACAGACTGGTTCCTGCTCACTGGCTGAGCGAGGTGTGGGAGCAACACCGAGGGTTGCGATCCTGTTGCCGGTCCCGGTCCAGTACGGGTGTGACACTGAGGGTTGCGATCCGTTGCCGGACACGAAAAAAGACAAAAAGGGAAAAAAAAAAAAAAAAAAGTTTTGTTCTATTTCAAGACTAAGACTTCCTTTAAAATATTTTTGGGAAAGAGAAAGAAAAGAAGTCAGTATAATTAGAGAAAAGTCTCGCGTGGTGAGATCAGCCGTGATTCTCTGAAGTGTGGCCCACACCGGCCGCTCTCGGGAGTGGGGCAGCCCTGCTGGTCCCCAGGTCCACCCTGGAACCGAGGAGTCGGCGTGTCCATGCCGGGGTCTGCAGACTGCGTGTTAACAGGCCCCCAGGTCATCCCAATGCAGGCAGAGTTGGAGACCTGCTGAGGATCAGCTGAAATCACCTTGTTCATAATGAATGCAAATAGGACACTGAACTAGAAAGTCACCATGATGGCAGATTCATGATGTGTGCAAACTGGGACGAACTTTAGAGGGGATTCGAACATTGCCACAATTTAATACATAAGGAAACAGAGGCCCAGAGAAGCCGCCACTTCCCTGCGGCCCAGACGTCTCACCAGGACACGTGAGCACGTATCCTAGACGCGTACCTGTTTCCTCTAGTTAGGGAAGGAATCTGTACTATTACCTGTGCACTTTGCACACCGAGTAGAGAGTCCAACAGGAATCTGGTTTGAGGAAGAAACCCAGACTTACCTTCTAGGTTTCCTTGGGTTTGAGATTATTTCCTTCAACATCGCCGTATTTCAAAAGTACTTTTTATTTGAAATTCAGGAGAAATTTAATATTTTGGAAAAATCTTGCTTTGATGGTTAAGTGCAAAAGCGAGTCATAGGCCGTGTGACTGCTGTTTCACTCCGGGCTGTGGCTCCCACCTGACTGCTGCTTTCCTCCCCCGACAGACCGGGCTCTGCGGGAACCTGATCGTGCTCTCCGTCCTGTACAAAGGCGGGCAGCTGATGGGCAGCGCCCACATGACTGTGGGCGAACTCTCGTCCTTTCTCATGTACGCTTTCTGGGTCGGAGTAAGCGTCGGAGGTATGTCATTTAAGTAGGCGCAGGAGGGCTGGCCCGCTGCTCACTCGGGAGAGTGCGGTGCTGATGACACCAAGGCTGTGGGTTTGGATCCTATATAGGGCCGGCCTGCGGCTCACTCGGGAGAGTGTGGTGCTGATGACACCAAGGCCGCGGGTTCGGATCCCATATAGGGATGGCCCGTGGCTCACTCGGGGGAGTGTGGTGCTGATGACACCAAGGCCACAGGTTCGGATCCCATATAGGGTTGGTCCGTGGCTCATTCGGGAGAGTGTGGTGCTGATGGCACCAAGGCCGCGGGTTTGGGTCCCCTATAGGGATGGCCCACGGCTTACTCAGAAGAGTGTGGTGCTGATGACACCAAGGCCGTGGGCTCGGATCCTATATAGGGATGGCCGGTTCGCTCACTTGGGAGAGTGTGGTGCTGACAACACCAAGTCAAGGGTTAAGATCCCCTTACTGGTCATCTTTAAAAAAAAAAAAAAGAAAATAGGCACAGGGAGTTACAAATTAGAAATCAGGGTATCGTTTCTGAAACAGAAACTGAACTTCCACATTGCGCTACCTCTTATCAGTTAACTTGACCTGAAAACATTTCCTAGAATGTCATTCCAGCTGGACTTTTAAAGAAGAAGTTGGGTTATGAGTGCGAGCCTCCTGCCTAGGCGAGCAGCTCCTGTCAGTCCTGTGGTGGCGACAGGTTTGTGATTGGCACATCACTGGGAAATAAAATTCCTTCCTTACAAAGTTAACTATATTTGAAACTAATGAACACTCAAAAAATATTAATGGGGCTGGCTGGTCGGCTCAGTTGGTTAGGGCACAGTATTCATGGCACCGAGGTCGAGGGTTCGGATCCTCATATGGGCTGGCCACGAAAAACAAACTATGAATTATAAAGTGATTTTGTCAGCAGTCTCTCAGAGTTCAGCTTTTGTTCTCTATTTCTGGGTGAAGGGCCAAAGCTGTGGGAGGTCAGCAAAGTTTCTTTTCTGGATCTTTCTTCCGTACCTTCTTGCGCCCCAGCCAACGTGGGGTTTTATTTTCCTTCCAGTCTGTGAAAACTGAGATGCGAAGGTCCGGTAAGTGGCTCCAGGTCTGATTGACAGAACGTCGGGTTTCCTCTGGTGTCGCCTCAGCCGGGGATTTTTATTTTCAAGGTTTTGTGTCTAATTGTTGAAGGCAGAGGCTCTTCCTTAGACATCTGCAGGCAACTGAGGACATTTTCTGGAGTGAGATTTGCAGAGACTCCTAAAAATAGCTCTTAGTTCTGCTGGCTGGTCTGAGGAAAACCCTGATGAAGAGGCTCTGGGCTGCTGAATGGTTTGGGACGTGAGAGGCCACTTCCGCAGGACGCTGGCGGGGTGTTGCTCTTTCCTCCTGTCCGCTGGCTGAGCCTGCTGAGCTGGAGGGTCCCTCACCCGGGTGGTCCTGCCTGTGGTCTGCTCCCCACAGCCCCTCCTGTGGGCTTTCTGTTCAGGGTCTGTGCTTGGCCACAGTCAGATCCTACCCGGCTTCCCCTAGTCATAGCTTCTCTGCCTTTCCTAGTCCCCCCCTTCCCTCTGCGCCTTTCCACGCTCCTTGATGTGACAGAAGCCATCCCTGTTTCAGAGGTTCTGCCATCCTTCACGAGGGACACGTTCACACTGCGCCTTGCACAGAGATAGGTTGGAAAACGCAGCTCTGCCCATCAGTGGTCAGTTCCCTGCCTTGGTTACAGAAGGTGCTGCAGAGGCTTGTGTGCATGTGGGGACAGGGTGACACGGCTTCATAACCACGTGCTGTCCCACCTCTCTGGTCAGCTGCTGTTCTGTGCCCGCTGTCGGTGCAGTGAGTGTAGGGCAGGTCGGGGTGGATCTGTCGTCAGGAGTTCCCACTTCTGCGACCCAGACAGCCACCCGAGGAGCAGGGAACTTAATCCAGCAAAATGGATTGGATTTCAAATGCTTTTGTGGGTTTTTTTTTTTTTTCCTTCCTTTGGGTTTTAGAGACAAAAATGTTTTGTGTTTTAAAAGTAATTTTATAAGTTTATACCATTTAAAGTAATTTTATAATGAACACACGAGGCAAGAAATCCTATTTTATTGAATTTTTATGTTGGTTTCTGTTTAGAACAGCATACCGGAAAAAACAAACAAACAACCCAGCACTTGAACGTGCATTCTCTGCCGAGTGGAGTCAGAAGTTTGTAGAAATGCACCATTAGCCATTTTCCAGCCGATATTCTAGTGGTGTTTGGTACATGCACAGTGTTGTGCCAACACCGACTCTGCCTAGTTCCATGACAGTTTCGTCACCCTGGAGAAAACCCGTCCTCAGTAAGCAGTGTGTCCCTGTGACTCCCTCCTGCCAGTCCCAGGCACCCACGGTGTGCTGTCTTTACACACTCACTTATTCCTGACGTTCACGTAAAAGGAATCATACAACATGTGTCTTCGCGCACGTGGCTTCTTTCACTTAGCGCGATGTTTTCAGAGTTCATCTCCACTGTAGCACGTGTCTGTACGTCCTTCCTCTTCTGGCTGGATGATATCCCATTATCCGAGACCACATCTTGTTTATCCAGGGTCATCTTGTCTTCATTTTCCAGAGTCTGGACTCTGCTGTGTTAACCCCCTCTGCCTCTTTCCCTCCTCTTCATTTTGTCTTTTTCCCCCTCTCTTTCCTTCCTTCCTTCCATTCTTTCTCTCCTGCTTTTCTCTCTCTCTTTTATTCTCTTTCTCTCTTCCTAGAAAGTAATAGACTTTATTTTTTAAAGCAGTTTTAGGTCCACAGCTAAACTGCGCAGAAGGAACGCAGATTCCCACACACCCCCTGTCCCCACCATCAACACCCCCACCAGGAAGGTCATTTGTCACAACTGATGAACCTACACTGACACATCATTGTCACTCAGAGTCACAGTTTACATTAGGGTTCACTGTTGGGGTTGTGCATTCTGTGGGTTTGGACAAATGGATAATGACACGTGTCCACCATTGCAGAATCACACAGAGTAGCTCCACTGCCCCCCAAATCCCCTGTGCTCCTCCTGTTCACCCCTCCCTCCTCCCAGACGTCATAGAGTTGGAGTCCTGCAGTGTGTGGCCTTTGCAGACTGGCTCCTGTCACTCAGTAACATGCATTTAAGTTTCCTCCGAGCATTTTCGTGGCTCAACAGGCTCATTTCTTTGTATCACTGAGTAAAATACTCCATTGTCTGGATGGACCACCGTTTATATACCCGTTCACCTACTGAAGGGCATCTTGGTTATTTCCACGGCGTGGCAATTATGAATGACGCTGCTGTAAACATCCATAGGCAGGTTTTTGTGTGGACGTGTGTTTTCATCTCATTTCTGTAAACAACAAGGAGTGTGGTTTCTGGATCCCGTGGGAAGAGCATGATTAGAAGCAGGCTGTCTTCCAAAGTGGCTGCACCGTTGCGCGGTCCCACCGGCCATGGGAGCTCCTGTTCCCGCACGTGCTCGCCAGTGTTTGGTGTTGCCGGTGTTTGGGACGTGCCATTCTGACAGGTGTGTAGTGGTGTCTCATTGCTGTTTGGACCCGCATGTCCCTGCTGACGTGTGTTCTCGAGCCTCTTCTCATGGACATGTTTGCCGTCCTATGTCATCTTTGGTGAGGTGACATCTGGGTCTTCTGTCCGCTTTTTAGTTGGGTTTTTTGTTTTCTTATCGTTGCATTTTAAGATCTTTGTATATTTTGGATGCCGGTCCTTATCAGGTGTGTCTCTTACAAATATTTCTCCCAGCCTGTGGTTTGTCCCTTCGTTCTCTTGCCAGTGTCCTTCACAGAGCGCAGGTTTTTCCTTTCAGTGGGGTCCAGCTTACAGGTTCTTTCTTGCATGGACTGCACCTTCAGTGCTGTGTCTACAAAGTCATTACCATACTCAGGGTCATCCACATTTTCCTCTGTGCTGTCTTCTAAGAGTTTATAGTTTCACGTTTTACATTCGGTTCTGGGATCCATTTTGAGTCAGTTTCTGTGGTGGGCGTCAGGTCTGTGTCCAGTTCGTGTTGGGCGTGTGGGTGCCAGGTGTTCCTGTGACGTCTGTCGAGGACACTGTCCTTTCTCTGTCATGCTTCCTGTGCGTCGTGGTCAGAGGCCGGTGGGCAGCGCCTGTGTGGCCTGTGTGTTCCCAGCACGTTTGCATTTTGCCTCAGCGTGAACGTGTAACCCACGGTACTTGTGTGTCCACACGCCACAGAGAGTGTCGGGTTGCACTTTGTCAGCGTCGTTACTGATGGAAAATGGGGCGCACACATGGCCTCACGTTTCACGTGGGCCGTTGTGCTTGGAGTTCATTGAAGTTGATAATTAAGTCAAAGTTCAAAAGTGACTTTAAAAAGCGATTGCTGGAGTATTTAACATTAACCGAATTCCTTTTCAGTCTTTAGCCTGTGTGAACGTTGTGTTCATTGTCTACAGTGTGTTTGCAACCCCCGATCCAACATCAAATCCTTTTTAGAAATGAAGGAAACTGGGGGAGGAGAAGCCAGAGGAAAGCGAGGGGGTGAGACGGAGCGAATCCTGAGCGTCAGTGTCCAGGAAGCCGCGTCGGGCCCTTTCCTGAAAGTAGCCTGTTGTGTTGGGGGCTGATGGCCGTGCCGGGCACTGGTGTCACACGCGTGGACTCCACTTCTCACCCGCAGGTCTGAGCTCGTTCTACTCGGAGCTGGTGAGAGGCCTGGGTGCCGGGGAGCGCCTCTGGGAGCTCCTGGAGAGGAAGCCCGCGCTGCCTTTCAACGGTGGGTCTGGGACGGGGCTGCTCTTCCTGCCGGGATTGACAAAGGTGGCTTCGCACCGTGAGCGTGGCCTCCTGCCCTGCCTGGGAGGACAAGCCACTGCAGGGGTGGGGACCCTACAACACGCATGGTGGGGAGAGGGCGGGCTTCCTGTGAGAGGGGGCAGGGAAGGACGGCTGCCTGTGCTCTCTTGGGCCCGAGGTGTCCCTGGGGGCATGGGGACTGGGTTCTGTCCCCTCCCTGCAGTGGGTAGGGGACGTGGGATCGTTGGCTAGAGCTATCGCCCTCTTCCTCCTCAACCACTTCCTGGAGCCGTGGGGACCTGCAGCCATGAGTAGTCACCGCTCCAGCGTCTCTGTGACTCCCAGGACAATGTTGCCCAGTGGAAGCCCATTGTTCTGCAGTACGATGGGCCACGGGAAACAAGCCCAGCGGGCAGAGGTTGAGCAGCGTCTCCCACAACAGCACCAGTGAACACCAGGGCAGAGTGGGCCTCGGACCCCAGCCCCGCGGCGGGTGCACAGCACTCCCCTGCTCGTCCTCGTTTGCTCAGGACACTTACCGAGTGCAGATGAGATGAACCCTGGGCCGGGGGTCCATACAGGGCGGTGGCCTAGGGAGGAGGCCGCTGGGTTTGAACTAGAGCAGATCTGACCTCTCCACGTGTTAGCGTGAGCAGGTGGTCATCTGTGGTCTCAGTGTCCTCATCAGTAAAATTGGGATCATGATTTCTACCTCGCAGGGTCGTGCAGATCGGGTAGGATGCACACGTGCGGTGCCCTGTGCACGGCAGGTGCAGGGTGGCCGTGGCAAGCGTTTCGATGGAGGCCTGCTTCCTGGCTGGCCCGGTGAGAGCTCGGCTCTGGCACGGGCTGTGGGGGCCGCGCACCCGCTGTCAGAAGCGCAGGAGGATCAAGTTCAGCTGTGAGTTTGAGCTTTGCTTGAAGTGATCAGGATTCCATTTTCTGTTTCAGAGGGGGTCGTTTTAGATGACAAGAGCTTCCAGGGTGCTTTGGAGTTTAAGCGTGTGCATTTCTCCTACCCGGCCCGCCCGGAGGTGCCCATTTTCCAGGACTTCAGCCTTTCCATCCCGCCAGGGTCCATCACCGCACTGGTTGGCCCAAGTGGTTCTGGCAAGTCAACGGTGGTCTCGCTTCTGCTGAGGTTGTACGACCCCGTTTCTGGTACGTGGCTCACTATGCTGGGGGGGCAGGGGCCTCTCCCATGATCAAGGGAGGATCAGACTATGTAGAGACCACCCAGGGTAAGGGTTCTGAGTGCCGGGGGTTTGTTGCTGGGAAGGAAGTCCCCCCAAACAGAGGTGTCACTTGTGGGGGTGCGACAGCTCCTGCAGAGGCCTGTCAGGCATTTGCATATTCGATGTCGTACCTCTGCAAGCCCAGGGTGACTCCTGGAGTCCATGTCCTCATCTACCACGCTGGCGTCTCCCCCTGATGTGCCCTGCGGAGCATCTGGCCCCTGCAGCACCCGGGAGCACCCTCTGTGCCAGGCAGCATGCTGGGTGCAGGAGCCTGGTTCTTATGAAAACAGCTCATCTGGCCGTCAGTGATGTCGTCCATTGAAACCGTTTTGGGCTAGTAGGAACTCTCTTAATGGGTGTTTCTCCTTCTGGTTCTAATTTTATTTTTAACTGGATTACGGCATTTTTTAGAGCACATTAATTTACTTCTCCACATCCTGACTGTACGTGTTGATTTGATTTGGAATCGAGAAAACAGCAGTGTTTGTCAACAAGCAAATGACTGACAGTAAAAATCAAATCGTTCATTGAAAAAGAATGTTGTGTCTTTGTGCTTTGTGGTTGAAACAACGTGAGACCCTGTCACATGTCACATGATTGTTGGACCTGCGAATCCTGACCCATGGACTCACCTCCTGTGTTAAGATGTGTTTACCACACCCTTTGCCTCTGGAATCTCTGTCTTGATTCATTACTGACTTGCTACAAAATTCTGAGTTTAAAATGCAAGTTAGGTGGATGCGAATCCAGTCGAAACATTGAGTCTCTTCATCATGGAAAATGAATCAGATTTAAATTTCTGTAATGTGAAATCTGCGGGCACTTGTGCTATTATCAGAGGGCTCCAGTTTTTGCCAGTTGGTGCAGGTGTCCGACTGGCCGTGTCACCCCACAGTGCCAGCTGAGGAGGAACGGCGTTTCTCACACGGTTCCCGTCGTCATCTTGCAGGCATTGTGGAGGTCCCTGTGTGGGTAGAATTAATTCTGTAAGTGAAGATCATAGAGTTGGCATCTGATTATTTAAAAGCTCTGCCACGGATTAGGTAACAGACTCCTCTCCCACTGAGTTTATGCAGAAAGGGATACTTTAAGGAGCAATGGAAGAGCCCCCAAATCACTGGCGGGGTTGACAAAATACTCCAAGATTCTGGGTTGAACTTCCAGGACACCTCCTGGAAGTTCACCCCAGACCCAGGCCTGCAGGGCAGCCGCTGGTGCAGCAGGGCTAGGGAGCTGCCGAGTTAGGCAGCCGCCGTTGTGGTGCCAGCTTCTGAGCTGGGCCACCTCCACCAGTATTAGTGCCTTGTGGCTTGCCCCGTCCCATGCAGTTCTCCTTTGAGTCGAGGCCCTACACAGGTGCATCCTGTTGGTGGAATACCAAGTCATGCGGGGCATCTGGGGACCTCCCACGACTCTGGAGTGCAGGAAGATGAGTGGGTCGATGAAGTGTCTCTCCACTGCATGGAGACAGTTGATGTGGACAATCCAGAAACTTCCTTTGAGCTCTGGAACTCCATGAAATATGTTGATTTTAGGCTCCGTTTGGAGATTTTGAGTGTATGTTTAGTCTTTAAAAAAGAGTCTGAACTTCCCCTCTGGATGCTTCCAGTGTTCATGTCGGTCCTTGGCAATTGGCAATCTGACTCCTCCCTGCTGTCTACAGGAACCATCAGTCTTGATGGCCGAGACATCCGGCAGCTGAACCCCACCTGGCTGAGATCCAAGATTGGGACAGTGAGTCAGGTGAGAAGAGAGGCTGCCATGTTTAATTCACTTTCTTGTAAAACTGCTCTTGTGAGTTGCTTTTTCTCTTGGTCTTGAACTTCCCGAGAGAGAAGGAATTGAAGTTTTTCAGATGCGTTAAATTAATCTCTCATGGCAGGTTGTTTTGGTTTGCAAATAGTCCGTTTCCTGAAAACCTTAAACCAGTTGAAGCACTGGCTTTTTATCTAAAGCCGGGGACTGATGTGACTTTGTAATGCAGACAGTCTGGAGATGGGGAGAAAATGACCTAAGCTGTTACTGACTCTTTTTAGCTCTTTCGGACACTCCCCCCATGCCCATTTGCAGCACCAGCCACAGTCTGCCGTTCTGCATAGTGGGTGTCAGGGGTTAGCAAGCAAAGACCGTGGCAAGAGCCAGAAGTTGCAGAATATTCTTGCAGTGTGCTCACCTGGATGAGGGTGTTTTCATAAGACCGTTGGGGCCGGTCTTGTGAAATTTTGCCACAGCTGTTTTTATTTTTATTCCCAAGCTCCGTGCACAGCACACAAACCGGAGCCCTCCCCGGTTTTGGAGCCTGTCCTTCCGATGAGCTTCCCGTGTCCCCGCTCCACCTGCCGAGGGCGGGAGGACAGTGGGGGTGCTCAGTAGTGCAGGGGTGTCAGTGCTGGGGAATGGAAGCTGGGAATCTGCCTGCCTTTATGACTCCCCACAAGGTTCTGTGAAATCCTCTCTGGTTTGTGTGTATTTCAAAAGGCGATGAGGGGATAGAGTTGAGGGGGGATAGAGATGAACCCCCTTCCTGCTCAGTGGAAGGTGGGCAGCGGGAAAATGCAGATGGACGCAGGCTCTTCCAGGGCCCCGTATTCCCGAGGGAGGGGGCCCACATTGGTGAAGTCCCTTCCATGTGGGAGGACTGACTTCCTGCACGTGGTGAGACCTGCAGGTGACAAAGTCAACCCTGAACCAAGCAGGTAGTATGTGTCCTCTGGGAGCACATCAGCAGTTTTTTGGATGTACACAGTGCTCAGCTCCACTGTGTTGACTGGTCATGTTTGAAGTCTGTGTTGAGACTTGTGAGAGACATTTCCTTTCCAATTTGCAGGAACCGATTTTGTTTTCTTGCTCTATCGCTGAGAACATTGCTTACGGTGCTGACAACCCTTCTGCGGTGACGGCGGAGCAGGTGCAGAGGGTGGCCGAAGTGGCCAACGCCGCGGCCTTCGTCAGGGACTTCCCCCAGGGGTTCAACACTGTGGTCGGAGAAAAGGGCGTGCTCCTTTCAGGTGCGTTTTTGTTCCTGCTCTGGAGCAAAAACAGTGTGCTCCAGAGAGCTCTGCAAACGTTTCCCTGTTGCAGCACTGTGTGCCAGCTGGGGTTTCATCCTTGCGCTTTGCAGCATTCCCCCTGCTGTACGTGGGCAACTCCCAGTTCCCTTCACTTTCTACCCAGACGTGCTCCCACAATTCCCACTGAGTAGTACTCAGCCGCAGCAAGCTTTTTCCCATTGAAAAAGAACGTCTTGTAACCCGAGACCCTTGAAAACTGTAGTAAATACGACAGATGCGGGGTGCTGGGATGATTTGCGCAGGGGGGCAGAGACTGTGCGTCAGGAATAAACTGAAATTGCAGGAATTCTTCACTCCCCAGTGCATGCTTTACAGACTAGACCAGGGGTTGACAAACTTTTTCTGTAAAGGGCCAGAGTAAATATATTAGGTTTTATGGGCCACATATGATCTCTGTTCATGGAAAGGTTTGTACTATCTTTTTTCTTTTGGCTGCTGGCCAGTTTGTGGATCTGAACCCTTTACCTTGATGTTACAACACCACACTCTAACCAACTAGCAACCAGCCAGCCCTGTATTATTTGAATTCTATTTTTACATGAACGTTTTGAAGTACCCTTGTATTTTTCTCTCTGTGTGTGTGTGTGTGAGAGTACGTGTGTGTGTTTTAAATGCTTCAAAAATGTAAAGAGCATTCTTAACTTGAGGGGTGTGCAAAATCAAGTCGTGGTCCAGATCTGGTCCCCAGGGCACCATTTCCTGAATGGACTTACAGCTGTCAGCCCATGAAAAGTTGGGGATGTTACTTCATCTGTAAAATGGACTAATTATAGGATTTTTTTAAAAAGAGATTAAATGAGATAATACATGTAATGCATTTAGAAAATGCCTGGTATATGGGAAGTCCTCAATAAATGTTAGCTGTGATAGTAATTGTTGTTGTTAGTAATTTTGAGATTGACGGGGAGATTCGTATTTAAAAAGCACATTTCTATTCTACCATCTTTCTCAGCTATGGCTAACTGGAGGAAGTTGTCTTCGAATTGCCACATGACTTATCAGGAAAGACTATTACCAAGAATTTTTGTTAAGGATTTATTTTCTTTAAATATTGTCTTTGTCAGGTGGGCAGAAACAGCGGATCGCAATTGCCCGTGCCCTGCTTAAGGTAAGCCTGAAGCCACTCAGGTGGTTTTATTTATTGTTCTTAACTAGGAACCTTGTAATTCATAGTTTACTATTTTTCTTCTAATTTTTTTGGTGGGGAGAGTAGGTGTGTGGTTGACAGTTCTGGTGAAGGATGAGTTGGGGGTTCCACTGAGTGCCCGTTGTCCATATCTTACAAGTATTTCTCGGGTGCGGGGAGCCCAGTACCGCACCAGGTTGTCAGAGGGAGAAAAGTTTAGCACGTGGGCCTTCCATCAGGAAGCACGGGGTGTACCCAGGGAGGCGCCGAGTGTCAACCAGAACGTCACAGCAGCACAGGTGTGCGGGTGTGTGTCATCTGTGATGGGCTGCTGTGTGGGGTCGTACAGACCTGACGTCCTTAGACAGGACTCCTAAGAGGAGGCGAGGAGCCCTTTGGGCTCAAAGTCAGACATTCTGTTTTTAAGGAAATGATAGCCTTCCCTTTATTATATAACTATTCTCCTCAGGTTTATAGGTGATATATTTTTTTAAAAAACAGTTTTATTTAAGCATCATTTACGTACCATAAAATTCACCCATTTTAAATGTGCTTTTCAGTGACTTGTATTAAGTTCACGGAGCTGTATAGCCATCACACAGTCCGATCTTAGAACATTTCCGCCACCCCAGAGAGGTCCCTTGTTCCCGTTTGCCATCTTCCCCTGTTGCCGCCCTGCCCCAGGATGCCACGAATCTGCTTTCCATCTGTCCAGATTTGCTTTTCTGGAAATTTCACATAAATGGGATCAGACAACATGCGGTCTTTGGCACGTAGCTTCTTGTACTTAGTTTACTGCTTTCAAGGCCCCGAGGTGTAACTGTGTCGGGACTTCACTCCTTTTACTGCTGAGAGTGACGGAGGCCCGTTTGTTACCCGTTCACCAACTGACAAGCATTTTGGTCATTTCCAGCTTGGAGCCACTGTGCATAATGCATAGTTAGTGAGTGGTGCACACATTTTTGTGTGGACGTATGTTTCCATTTCCTGTGGCAAAACCAGGATTGAATGTGTTACATACATCAGCTCACTCTTATTTGTTCTGTTTTATGTAGATGTTTTCAAGTCACTTCGAACTCTTCCGTTTGTGTACATGTCTCAGACACTTAAGAGTTTTGTTTTTCCTTTTTGTAGCAGCTTTATTGGGATACACTTCACCTACTACGTAATTTAACCATTTAAAGTGTACTGTTCAGTGGCTTTCCGTGTATTCAGTTATGCATCCATCACCATAATCAATTTTGGAACACTCCTCATCCCCAGAGGCCCTCTACCTTTAGCAGTCCCCGTTCCTCCCATTATTTCCCCCATTGACCCCAGCCCCAGCAACCACTAGTCTTCTTCCTGTCCCTATAGGTTTGCCTATTCTGGACATGTCACATAAATGAAGTCAACGCTATATGTGGTCCCCTGTGTCCAGCCGCTTGCTTAGCATGATGTGTCTAAAGTTCACCCACATTGTAGCATGCGTCACCATTTCATTCCTTTTTATTGCTAGGAGTTTTTTTCTAATTTTTTTTTTTTTGTATTTTTTCCTTCTTCAGAATCCCAAAATCCTTCTTCTAGATGAAGCAACCAGGTGAGGATATCCTAATAATATGTGTGATTGTATCAAACCACATTTTTCCTTTACCAAAAGCTATTTATCGTGTACTTCTAAATGATACAACTGAAGATGCTTTTTTTGCCCTTACACCTTAAAGTGCTGGAGTCTGAATTAATAGTGACAGTGGGGAGTGGGTGCACTGAGTCGTGGTGGAGGGCTCCAGTTCCACTTCAGTCACGCTTGTTACGGATCCTGTCACCAGCACCTGTGCAGAGTCTTCCCCATTTACACCACGGTGGTTTTATGGTGATCAAGGCGTCCCAAGCTTGCTTTTCTTGCTTTTTCTTTCTATTTCTGGTGGCTGGCGGGGCAGGGATCAAACCCTGGACCTTGGTGTTATCAACACCACGCCCTAACCAGTGAGATAACTGGCCAGCCCCAACCTTCTTTCCTAGAGTGTCTTTTGCCCAAGCAGTTGAAATTTTGATCACAGTAAAATTCACTGCCCGTGAAGGGCTGCTGTGTGTGTACCGGGAAGCACATGAGCATAGGGCGTGTGTGGCATTGACGTCTTTGCTTTCTCGTGTGTCAGTGCTTTGGATGCTGAAAATGAGCACCTCGTGCAAGAAGCTCTGGATCGACTGATGGAAGGAAGAACCGTGTTAATTATTGCCCACCGTCTGTCCACCATTAAGAATGCTAATAGGGTTGCTGTTCTTGACCAAGGAAAAATCACCGAATATGGGAAACATGAAGAACTGCTTTCAAAACCAGATGGGATATACAGAAAACTAATGAACAAACAAAGTTTTATTTCAGCCTGAGAACCAATTACTGGTGAACTGAATATGAGAGACTTTAAAGCAAAACAGCATTGCAGAAAAAACCTTAGAGACCATACATAATCTGTAGATTATACTTCAAGTTATTTGAAATATGCCTATTTTTTCCCAAAGCGTGTAAAATATTGTTTTGAAATGTGCCTGTTTTCAAGACCTTTTTATCCAGAGTTTTAATAGTTGTAATTTTCTAAATGTCTATGACACTGAAGTTATTTTCAGGTTTTGTACTTTCTTTGATCTTGGAATATTTGATGAATATAGCATTGGACCTCATTTTCTTTGGCCTACAGCTATGGATTGATGCTATTGTTAAATGGCAACTTTCAAAAGGGAATTATAACTGAGAAGCCTAATTATTTTAGGCTAGTTTACCGATCACTGTGTAATTCTCTTGGTAGTATTTCACCTACTTTGGGTTCTCATTTTACTAGGTATGAAAATCTAACCCTTTATTTTATCCTGATAATCTCAGGGAGTGAACCTGAGTGACATACAAAAATAGCGAACATCAGGTGGAGAGAAGGGAGTGTCTGTACTGCCCGTGTCCTTGTCTTCAAAGGTGCGAGAGTTTAGGAGCATGTGTTCCCGTGGGATGTGACTCTGTTTGAATGTGTGCAGTGTCAACCTTTTGGCACATGAAAGCCTGATGGATTTTAAAAGGGGAGAAGAAAGCTTCTAACAGGAAAGCTTCTATTTTCTCTATTCACGCATTTGTTTCTGTGAGTTCTTTTGGTCAGCGAGGCATGGACTGCCAGATTTTATGAAGAAAGATAGATAAAAGTGAATTTTATATTCAAGTTGTCTGAAAGCATGATTTTGTAAAATTATTTGTTAAAAACATAATTCCAAGATAAATTGATTTTAGTTTTTTATACTTTTGAAATTTTACTAGTGAAGCTAGAATCTGAAGAATATAACTGCGATTGTCAGCCTTAAGACATTTGGAGAGGGCTGGCTGGTTAATTCACATGGTGGAGCATGGTGCTGATAACACCAAGGTCAAGTGTTCAGATCCCTGTACCAGCCAGCCACTGAAATAAAACAAACATTTGAGGAAAGTTTAGAAATCTTAAGAATGTCACTCTCCTAAAAAGACACTAATAACACTTTTTACTTTATTTATGGTTATAGTTTTATTTCCCTGAATGTCTCAAAATTCCTAAAGCAATGCTAACCACCAATGATTTGTCTTATTTTGTATCAGTGCTGTTAATTTGATGTTTCCTGAAGAAAAAGTGCCTTTTCTATGTTGATGATGCCAGAACCTAAGAAACAATTACGTTGATGTAATTAAAATGGAAGTTTCCTGTGCACTAGGTATTCATTAGTTCCCTGATTAGACTGGAAGAAACCACTATTTCACGAAAAGCATGGGGGATTATATTTTATTCCACATAAGAGAATTTATTAATGAATAAAATGGATTCCGTGAATGAACGAATTCAATGTTCTTTGAATTAGTAAACAGTTCATATGTGACAATTATTTTAATAAGCCTTCCCTATACTCCTTATACAGTTTGCCATTATGCATAGTTTTGAGAAAGCAAACCAAACACAATTAGAAGGTTGGACCTGAGGGAAATCTCTTTGTGCCATAGAAGTATTTACAAAATTGAATTTGATCATTATGTTTTATTTTGTAGCACAAGATGTTCAATTGTGTCTTTAGGTAACATTTTACATCATAGATTAAAGTTTATAGTGAACTTTATCTGTGTTTGTCACTTCTTGTAAAACTTTTTACATTGTTTCTTGCTAGAATTTGGCTGTGGAGATTCAGGGATAAGGTTTTTTCCTAACATCACAGATACAGAAAAGTGCCATTCCTTTCTTGTTACTAAAGATTGCTAACGTCCTCACTTGTTGGCTATAAACATTCTGTTCAATTGCCTCGATGCAGTAAATTAGTGTCCCCTGCCCCACCATGGATGAGGGAGTGTGCTGTGGAGCTGGTGACACATGACTAACACAGTTTCTGCCCTCAAGGAGCTTCTAGTTTAGGAGAGGAAAGGCAGGTAAAATTAGTAACAAGAAAACAGCTGAACATCATGCAGGGGTGTTGTTGTTAACACTGTTCTGGTAACATTTTTTTGTTTCCAGAGTGTTTGCACCTGTGACCACATTCGATACTTCAACAGTACTGTAATCTAGACAAATACCTATTGTCCCCATTTCACAGATGAGGGAATGAGCATAGGCAGGATGCGTGTGAGTTAACAGTGGTGAGTAGGGGAACTGAGCAAGGCCTGCTTGTTCAGATTCCTGTGCATATCCTGTCTTTTGAGAGAAGGATGTTCCTTTCCTCTGTGCACAGGGAGGGCACCTCTTGCATGAGGGTTTTATGACCTAGTTCAGGGGAGAAGGGCAGAAGGTCAGAGAGTGACCTTCCTGCTTCTGCTTTCTCACATGCTAAGGTGCCATATTTTGGGGCAGTGTGCCCTGAACCCCATCACTGCACATACTATCATTTTGTATATATTCAAGGTGCAGAGCCATGGCGGTGCTAATGTCTGCAATCCTGCTCACAGCACCAACGGTCTAGCTCTTGATCCTGTTCATGATACCAATTGTCTAGCTACATGACCACACCAGTTGTCGGGCTCTTTGACCTGCTGGTAATCCTGCCAACTGGCCAATTGTTGAGCTAGGGCTGGGTCTAGAGTTCCTAGACCCCTCAAGCCCATTCACAGACTGGGTCACACTTCATACGCCAGGCTGGGTCACCAGACCCTTTCACGCAGGTCTATGAGCTAGGTAACTGGCCAAAGGTCCTTGGAAGCCTTAGGTTTGGAAAGCATGGCTGTGCCAGGCGGATGCCCAATGCCGACACCTGCCCCGCCTGCTTCACCAAACTCTCTCTCTCACACACACAAATAGCAACAAAACTAAAAAGATACATTGGCTAGGGCCTGGACCAAACTATTCTACTTTCCCTACAGAAGGTGTTTTGATATTCATAGCATAGTGAAATGATTACTATAGTCAAGCAAATTACTCTGTCCCTCACCTTTCATAGTTACCTTGTGTGTGTGTGTGTGTGTGTGTGTGTGTGTGTGTGTGTGTGTGTGTGTGGTAAGAGTGCCTAAAATCCACTCAGCACATTTTCAGTATATGATACAATATTGTTAATAGTCTTCACGTCGTACATTAGATTCTAGATTTATGCTCTTACATATCAGCAACTTTGTACCCTTTGACCTATTTCTCTACTCTCAACCCTCGACCTTGGTGTTACACCATGCTCTAACTGAGCTAACTGGCCAGCCCACACATACTATTTTTTAACCAAACTGCTTTTTAAAAATTTAATTGAATGACTATTTTCTTATATCTTTAAGTATTTGTTACACACATTTCTTTAATTGAATAATGACTATTTTCTTATATCTTTAAGTATTTGTTACACACATTCACATGTATTCTTTTTAACCAGATAGTATTCCATAAGGTGGATGTGATATATATCTATGGTTGGCTGTTTGTTACTTTCTATTTTCTTTGCTATTGTAAACATGTTACGATTTTTTTTCGTGTAAGTTTCTAAAACGGAAATTTTCAAGTTTAAACAGCATATACAAATTACAAGGCTTTTTGATAGAAACTGTGCTGTTAAAATATCTACTAATTTAGAGTCCCACCACAAGTATATAGAAGCAGTGCTTGGCTCCCCACAGCCTTTTCTGCATGAGCGATTATCATTTTCAAAAACATCTCTGATAATTCAATGGACAGACAGTGCTGATGAGTAATTTAATTTGCATTTCTTCAATTACTAATGAAGTTGAAGATCTTTTCATGTGTTTTTTGGTCATTTCTATTCTTTGATCTAGTGCCAGTTCATGCCCATCCTAAATTTTCTTTCTGTTGAGTTTTATTGGTTCCTCTTGCTGTTTTGTTTCTGGGGGCTTTTTTGGTAGCTGGCCAGTACAGGGATGGAAACCTGGACCTTGGTGTTATCAGCACCATACTCCAACCACCTGAGCTCACAGGTCAGCCCTGAAGCTTTTATAACTGGACGGTGAGAAAACCACTAACCAGATCAACAAAGCCGAAGAACCAAACTGATCCCACCAAGCCCCTCTCAGACACGACTGTGCTCCGTTTCCCATTTCTCAGCCTTTCAAGTAAGCACGAAGCGAGGAGGAAATGCACTGGGTTCTAAGGGCTATCCGACTGTCAGACAAGCTGCAAAGCCTGGTTATAAACCCACGTGGGAGCAGTAAAGCAGGATGCCTGTACAGCCTTGGAAGAACTGCCCAGATGCCATCAATGTGCACAGACTGACACCACACTGTGGCCTCCACGTGTGGAAACGCCAGCATCCCCTTATTTCAACGAATAATAAAAGCTTACCGTGCATCTGTTACGGTGTGCACAGAGGTGACAAAAGTCACTCTCCGCGCTGTCAAGACATGTAAAAGGAGCCACTTGAAGGACAGTTACGCAAACAAACTTATGAAGGGTAACAGTATTGTAAACAGGGGGCGCTTAGACTTAGAGCTGGGCGAACAGCCTGTGGGCAGCGGCAGGTCACTGTGTGCGCCGCGCTGGGCCCCGAGCGGCGACGGCGGCGCGGGGACGAGCCACGGCAGGGACACGCGGGCGCGGCCGCCGGGGCCGAGGCAGGCGAGCTGGGGCAGCGGCTCGCGTTACCAAGTCGGGATGCGGCTGTGAACAGTGGGAAGCCGGTGAAGGGCCCACTCGGGAGCGTCAGGAGCGCGGCGGAGACCGTAGAGTCGCGCGGGAAATGACAAAACGAGAGAAGAACCAAAGCCAGAAGGGCGAAGCCGCTGCCCGCCCGCCGGTCTTCCTCCCCGCAGCTCGACCGCGGCACGGCTTCCGCTTCCCGGAAGCCAAGAGTCCCCGGGGGCGAAGAGGCTGTTCGCTCAAACCGCCGGCGCGCAGGCTCACACCGCCGCGGGCCTGTGACCGCGCCGCCACTGCCGAACCCTCCAGGGCCACTGCCAACGACCTCGCCCGGCGGCTCGGCGCCGCGCTTTGACGTCACTTCCGCGCCCCGACCACGCCCCACGGCCTGGCGCCGGTATGACGTCATCTCCTCGCGTACCCGACCAGGCCCTGAGCTTGGCGCCATTTGGCGCCATCTCCCCGCGTCCCCGGCCACGCCCCGCAGTTTGATGCCATCGCCGTGCGCCCCTGAGCACGCGTCCCACGACTTGGCGCCTCATTGACGCCATCGCCGCCAGCCCTCGACCACGCCCTCAGCTTGGCGTCATCTGACGAGGTCTCCGCGCGCCCCGTCCCCGCCCCGCAGTTTGACGTCATCCTCGCGCGCCTTCCCGCTCCCGGCGGTCAAGCTGGGCGCGCCGGCCGCGCTTGTACCTGGCTGGGCCCGCGCTCCTGCCGCCGCGCTCTCCAGTCATGTTCCCGGCCGTTTCTTCTCCGCGGACCCCAGTCCCCGGGTCTCGAAGGGGCCCGCTGGCCGGAGTCGGGCCAGGCTCCACGCCGCCTGTTTGTTGTCTGTCTCCTCCAGCGGAGTGGAAGGCAGCAATTTTGTCTTTTTTATTGATTGCTGTACCTTCAATACTTGGAAGAATGCCTGACACATTTTTGGTGATTGATGTACATGGTGCAATGATGGGATGCAAGTTTGAAGGATATATTTTAAAATGGTGGAAGAATGAGCTAAAGAAATGTTCTTTAAACTGCAGTACGCTTATGCCAAAAGAGTTTGCAAAGACTTTCCAAGGGACGTGTAAGCATGGATTGGCGGAGCTCGCTGAGCTCGCGGTAGGTGCCCGCCCCGCGGGGTGCCCGCCGGTGGGCGTGCAGGAGCCGCGGGCGGCGGGAGGTGCCGGGCGCGGGGTTGGAAACGCGTGCTCGCGGAGCTTCTGTGTGCAGACGTGCGGCGCGGACCGGGTTCACCGGGGCCCACCCGCCTCCCTCTTGGTCTGGGGCGGAGCCCTGGTGACTGTCCGTCTGTCTGGAAGAGGACAGTGATCCTCTCTCTGACCTGAACCTGACTCACGAAGGCCACAGAGTCTGTGAAACGCCACGACGCAGGTGTAAGGTGACGGTGGGGATGTAATGACTCAGGTACCACTGCTGATTGGTCATTAGAAGGCTTTTAGCTATAGAATTTCCTGTTTTTTTTTAATGCTTTTTAAATTTTCTTTTAAGAAACTTTTTGTTTTTCTTAGCTAAGTTATAGAGAAGAGGTTTTCTGTCAGCAGAGAGCTAAGAGTACTGGTTTCCTCACGAGCACCAGCCCACCTCATGGTAAATCATGCTCCCCCACCCCTGTGTACATAACTAGTTTAAAACTTTAGTAGAAAGTAACACCTAGTTCTGAATAGTTCATCCGTCAAAAATGAATTTTCCTCTGCAGGGAAGCAGTAAATATTGGGTCTTGACAATATGGTTAAAATTTGCCTGTAAAACTTTTTGATACTTTAAAGGAGAAGTGATTTTTAAAGAATGCACCGTGTTATTGACTTTTCTGCATGTTGAAAAGTGCTCTTCAAAGTGCTGATTTTGTCAGTGTTTTCTTTTTTTTTTTTTAGAAAAGTCAGAGAACAAAGCCGTACTTTATGTGTGTGTGTTGTTTTTAATGTCTTCTGGTGATCGCTTAAACTAAAAACCTTTGTTATAGTACACTGTCAGGAAACAAAGCCCTCAACCACTCTGTATGTGCATCTCCTTATTTCTATGAAAAACTTTTATACTGTGACTTTACATTGTTATTCTGAATGTTAAAAAGAGGGTAAGGAGGAAATATATTGAAGACCATGTAGCAGCAGGTGCTCATGACCCTTTTAAATTTCTTGATTTTACAAGTAAATTTTTATATAGTTCTAGAGCTGGATGAGAGCTTAAAGATCATCTAACCCAATGTTTGCAAAACATTTTTGGCCACAATGTATGATAAACGCTGATATATTCCATTTTGTCTTGCAAAAATATCGATTGAGACCCTCAGAATGACCCACAGTTTGAAAAACACTTGGACTAGTCCAACCTTATTTCACAGCTAAGGAAGCAGCGTTATAAAGAGTTTTAAGTGGATAGAGGCATGCATCTAATTACTACAACATAAAGGTCTGAAGCCAAGTTTTCCTGAATTCTGTCCGGGTTTTCTTTTCATGCAAAATGCATTTAGTTACACAGTATACATGAGCCAGTGTTCCTTGTTTATTAAACATCTTTTTATTATAAGAACATATACATATGTAATAATTAGGAAAATGGAAAAATTCTAAGTTATCAGTGAAGTAATATGGTCTCTTTTTTTCAGAGGAACACCTACACGGGTATTCCCACACCACTCCATAACTGAGACTATGAACTACGAGGTGAAAACCTTTGGATCTTCTCTCCCTGTTAAAGTCATGGAGGCCCTGACGTTGGCGGAAGGTAGGGGTCATCTTTCCATTTGCCTCTATTAGTCTAGATCTGGCATGGAGCTTGAAATTTATGCTTTCTTTGGTATACCTTCACCTAAGTGGAGGGAAACAGGTAGACTGTCTAGTTTTTCACTAATTGAGATATGTAATAAATTTGAGAAGAATGAGGTCATTCTAACACAGTCAAATTAAATCTTTAATGATTTTAAGTACTGTATGTGCAAAATTCAATACAGTTTCAAAAATTGATCAGGTATATGAAGTTTAGGGTTTACAGTGGTTTTTATTTATTTTTTTATTTTTTGGCACCTGCCTGGTATAGGGATTGAGTCCTGGACCTTAGTGTTATTAGCACCACACTCTAACCAATTGAGCTGACCAGCCAGGCCCATTGTTGGGTTTAATAATGCAGCAAAATCAAGTCCTACCTGCATTTCTGGATCGTGTGTAGTATTCCAGAGGCTGTTTGCACAAATTTTTGGTGTTACCAATGTGGCATATCTTTAGAAGACTCTGTCAGCAGAGAGTTAGTGTGCATGTTTAGGAGGTGTAGGTGACACAAGCTTAGGACGGCAACATTGAGGATCGGGGTGGGTGATGGGGAGAGCAAAGTTCTGAGCGTCCTCAGTGTCTGCCTGAGTCATGTTTATGAAGGTCAGTTTGGATGTTTGTGATTTTCTGGAACAGTGTTTTTCGACTGCAGGTTGTGACTGAAATCAGTTTAGTGGTTCATGACCAGGATTTAAAAAAAAAAAAAAAGTGGGCTGGCTGGTTAGCTCAGTTGGTTTGAGCTCAGTGTTATAACACCAGGGTCAAGGACTCCAATCTTCATACAGGCCAGCTGCCAAAAAATTAACTTTAAAAGTAGGGCTGGCTGGCTAGCTTGGATGGTTAGAGCGCATCCTTGTTACACCAAGGTCAAGGGTTCAGATCCCTGTGCTTGCCATCTGCCAAATAGAATAGAATGCAAAATATCAGAGTGCATCTCCCATAATGTTAAGTGATTTTGTTTTATTTAAATTGTATGTGAATACATCATGGTATAAACTGTAATTCATACTGTGAGTAACAGTCAAAAACGTTTGAAGGACTCCATTCTAGAGGAGGGGTGCTTCTTGGCTTGAACTTGCACATCTTGCCTATGAGGCCCTGGGTGATGGAGGGGGTTGTTTTTAGACAACTGAACTGTTAACCTCTATCACACATTGTTCTGTTTTTTAGGTATCTTTGCACATAAATGTATTTTTACATTTATATGTGTCTATAAATGTATATATTTATTTTTATATAAATATATATTATTTTCTCTAAAAATTTCAGTTTAAATTATACTTAAATCTTTTAACCATTCCTTTCTGGTTCATGCCACCAGACTGTGTTAATAACAAATAATACACAGGCTCAAATCTAGAAATTCAGAGGAGTGAGTCCCTAGAAATCAGAATATGTGAACTGCAAAAGTGTGTGAACGTGTAGCGCTCTTCCCCTGGCAGGTAGAGGGCTGTGTTCCGTCAGGCCCTTGGGGGCTCACCAGCCCGCCAAGGATCTGGAGCTACTGTAGTGCTTTCAGAAAAAACAAAATTACTGAGAAGATATTCCAGTTCAGCAAAAAGCCCACACTTAGCACAGGTGTGGTTTGATATTTTAGCTTATACTTTATTGATGCCTTTTATTTGGCCCACCACCCTGACTTCAAGCAAAGCACAAAGCTCAAATTAATTACATTTCCCCGGCTGTTGACATGTTCTTGGAGGTTTACCACCAATATTTGAGACAGAGCAGTATACTAATTTAGTTTTTTCACTTAATGGAGAATGTAACCTTTGTGTCTCCATATAATGAAATTTTTTGTACCTTTAAGGAGCTCTTATTTGAAAATCATGTTCTTTTGAAAGGGACATGATTTTTCATTGAAATGTTTTATAGAGTTAATGAAGGGGATTGTTATTTTTGTTGCTTTATCAATAAAATTGTGAATATTACTAAGTATTTCTTATAGAAAGTAAGATATCTGTTTATAGTGAGAAATTAAGGAGTATTAAACCAATGCCCCAAATACACTTCTTGCCTTTTGATATTTTTCTAAAAGTGGTTACCAAAGTTGGATAGATCTCTTGTTTTGGATGTTGATAATTCTTGGGTATTTAAAAATATTTTTTGTTGTGAATTAATGTTTTTTGTCTGTGATAGTTACTTTTTTTGGTAAAGCCTGTGGTAATAAAGAAGATTTTAGTATAAGGAAATCATAACATTTTCTCATATTTATACCTTGAGAATAATTGCATCCCTTGTCTTTCTCTTTAGTTGATGATCAGCTGACTGTTCACATAGATGAAGGTGGATGGGCATATTTGGTCTGCAAAGAGAAGCTCATTATTTGGAAGATTACTCTGTCGCCTATTACTAAGGTAGTGGCTCTTTAGAAGCTAGAAGGACACAGAGGATACCAGTTGGTTCTCAAGCAGTAATCTCAACTACTCAGGAATTACGGATTTGCATTTCCATAGTGATATGAAATACTGAGCAAGCATATACATTTGTGTACTGGGAAAAAAAGTTTCTCCTCTTTAATAACTTTTTTTTGGAGGCGGGGCCTGGTACAGGGATTGACTCCTGGACCTTGGTGTTACCAGCACCACTTTCATACCAACGGAGCTTTCCAGTCAGCCCACCCCTTTAATAATTTTTAAACAAGATTCATGTTATTTACGCTTAATAAAGTTAGAAACATTGAAACTTTCAATACATATAACGCTATCAGTCTGCCTAATGAAATTTAAGACTAAATGCTATCTACATAAGCTAACGAATTTCCCTCCTCTCTCCTGGTGACCGCACACTTAGCCTATAAAATTTGTTTCTCCCTCTCTTTTTTCCATTTCTCTTTTGACTTGTCTATTTCTGTTAATGGTACCATTGCTTTTTTCAGGGTACAAAACTTGGTATTTTCTCATGCCTCCCACCTTCTATAGCAAATCAGTTATTTTCCAGGTCCTGTAGACTTTGATCAGCCTCATTTCCATCCCCATCTTTCTGTTTCTGTTCTTGGGCCCTAATCTACTGAATGATGTTTAATTAGGAAAACAAAACCAATTGCTAATTTAACTTTCAGTTGTCACCTTCAACAGTGGGGTTATCATTTGTTTGTCTAGTAAACTTATCCTCAGCAACCGCCTCTTTCCTGTCGGTCACAGCTCAGACGTACTCTCTTGCACCTCTCATTACCGACCATTGGAACTCAGGGCTCCTGCTTACCTAAACTCTTATAGACATAAAGCCCCTGTGCTGATATTTGTAGTTAGGACCAGTCATGAGGGAGAAGTCCTGGCGGATGAAGTGAGTAGCAGAAGGATTCTGATATTTGGCTGAGTATCTAAGAAATATTTTCCAGGCAACTCAGTATAATTACTCTGTGGTCATTGCTAATTTTAAATGTCAAGTAAATAAATCAAGACTAGACTGGGAAGGTTCCATAGGAAGGCTAAGCACTTCTCTTAACCAATAAACTTTTAGCCCTGGAAGAGATTGGACTATATGATATTCAAGGTCCGGTTTAGTCTTAAGTTTTCCTGATTCTGTATCCCTTAAGATACTTCGTTGTAAAATTACTGAAAGCCCAATCAAAAAGAAATGTGAGAAGAAAGAATAATTGTAGAATGGTGTTTTCAGCAATGAATCAGATTCTAAAATATGCAGAGAAGGAAAATAGAAAAGTCAGGTGCATATTCGAAAATTTGGATATGATGTGAAAGATTTTCTGTTTGGGTTTGCTCCACAGTTATCTGTCTGCAAAGAACTGCAGTTGCCACCTAGTAATCTCCATCGGACCACTGACCTGGTGGCTCTCTCTTACTCTGCTACCTCAGGTGAAGCATATTCTACTCAGGTAGGTAACCCAAAAGCTTATTGAAATAAACTTTTAAAAATAAGGACATTCTAAAGTTGAAGGAATCGTCCAACCTGATTTTGAGACATAATTTTATTTTTTATTTTATTAATTTTATTTTTTGGCATCTGGCTGGTGCAGGGATTGATCCTGGATGGTGTTATCAGCACCATGCTCTAACCAACTGAGCTAACCAGCCAGCCCAGACATAACTTTAAAGCTACAGAAATCAAGACACTGTGGTATTGGCAAAGAAAAAGACACACCAGTCAATTGAGCAGAATAGAGAGTATACGTACAGACCCACGCAAAGGTGGCCATTGACCTTTGACAAAGATGCAAAAGTAATTCAATGGAGAAAGGATGGTCTTTTCAGTAAATGATGTTGGAACAATGGTCATTGTAATTAAAAAAAAAATGAATTTCCCTAGACCTTATGCCTTATGCCAAGATTAACTCAAAATGGATCATAGATCTAAATGTAAAACATAAAATTCTTAATGCTTTTAGAAGAGAACATAGGAGAAAATTGTCATGACCTGAAGTTAGGCAAAGAGTTTTTGGAAATCAACAAAAGCATGATCTGTAAAAGAAAAAATGTTGGTAAAGTTAAAATTTAAAATAAGACCAAAAGTAAAAATTTTGCTCTGCCAAAGACAAGAAACCAAAGAGAACAGCTGCAGACTGGGAGAAAATATTTGAAAAATCGTATATCCAACAAATATGTGATTTACAAATTGTCTTGTATCTAGACTATAGAAAAACTCTCAAAGCTCAATAAGAAAACAAGCAGTCCAGTTTAAAAACAGAGCAGAGGACTCGAACAGACACTTTGCCAAAGAGGATGTAAAGATGGCAAATAAGCACATGAAGAGATATTTACTGTCAGTAGCCATTAGGGAAATGCAAATTAAGACAGCAGTGAAATAACCACTATATGCCCATTGGAATGGCTAAAATAAGAAATACACTGCTGAGTGCAGGCCAGGATGTGGAGTGTCTGGAACTCTCATACACTGCCAGTGGACATGCAGAAGGTACAACCATTTAACCAGGTGACTTAACAATTCCATTCCTGGCTGTTCACTCTAGAGAAATTAAAACTTGTGTTCACACAAAAAGCAGTACGCAAATGTCATAGCAGCTTTATTTCTGATAGCCAAAGCTGGAAACAACCCAAGTGTCCTTAAGCAAATGACTGGATAATCAAACTGGTTCGTCCATGTGAGGCATACTGCTTGGCAGTAGAAAGAAATGGACTATTGATACGTATAGCAACCCGGATGAATCTCAGAGACATGCACAGTGAGATAAGCTCATGTCAGCGGTCATAATCTGTATGATCTCATTGTTTGACATGCTCAAGAGGATAAACTTAATGATGGAAACAGTGGTTGCCAGGGGTTAGGATGGGAGAAGGGTGTGTCTATAAAGAGATGGTGCTAGGAAGTTTTGGGGGGAAATGGAACTGTTCTGTATCCTTATCATGATTAGTTGCAGTAATCTGTATACATGTTAAAATCCATAGAACTGTACAACAAAAGGAAAGGTCAGTTTTACTATATGAAAATTTAAAAATACAGTTTTAAAATAAAGAGTACTCATTTTGGGGCCGACCCCGTGGCTCACTCAGGAGAGTGCGGCGCTAGGAGCGCAGCGACCCTCCCGCCGCAGGTTCAGATCCTATATAGGGATGGCAGGTGCGCTCACTGGCTGAGCGCAGTGCAGGCGACACCAAGCCAGGGGTTGTGATCCCCTTACCAGTCACACACACCCACACCCCCCCCCACACACACACCCACACACACACACACAACTCATTTTTAACTTTTGTTAATTCAGTAGTAAATTGTGCTGTTTCTTTGTATCAGTGTCATGACATGCCCAGTGTTTGAGCCCTCCTTTGCTGTGACTGCTGACCATTGTGATCTTGTTTCCAGGCTCTTGGGGTCATGGTTGCCACCGGAGAGGGGTCCATCCGCTATTGGCCAAGTCTTGCTGGGGAGGACATGTACACAGAGGCTTTCGTGGATTTGGGAGGTGATAAGACTTACAGTTTCCTAACAGCAGTGCAGGTACACAATGGATATTCCTGTATGTTTATTGAAAGCTGCAATTTGGCTTGGAAGTGAGATTTGAATGACTAAATATGTGGGATTTTGAACAGACCATACAGGCCAGAGAGGGATCCCAAAGAGACAAGAGAAGGATGTAAGGATCTAGGATTGGAACAGTTAGACAAGGGGGCCCTTCTCATAGGACTCTAAAATGTCAGTGTCAAATAGTAGCTGCTGGTGTTTGTTTTCTTTTACAAACATTTGATGAGAGTGGCTTAAAACCTCTTAGACACTATACTAATGTCCACCCTAAGGTTTACCAAAGAAATAAAATCTGATACTTGAGATACTTGATTTGTTGAACCTGCAGTACGGTAGACCTTTAATTTAAAAATCAGAATTTTAAAAAACATGAACTTTTTTGGCTGTAAAAGTTTTTCTCTGTAGAATTACTAATATTAAGTGAATGGATTTGTAAGTAAATTATTTTGATAAAATAGCATTGTTCCAGTTTTGTTCTTTTATTTATTTATTTATTTATTTTATTTTTGTCTTTTTTACTGACCGGTAACGGGATCGCAAACCTTGGTGTCGCGCCCATACCGGGGACCGGCAACGGGATCGCAACCCTCAGTGTTGTGCCCGCACCACGCTCAGCCAGTGAGCGGGAACCGGTCTCCACATGGGATCCGAACCCTCGGCGGGAGCGCCGCCGCGCTCCCAAGCAGCGCACTCTCCAGTGTGCCACCGGGCCGGCCCCAGTTTTGTTCTTTTAGACTTAACATTCAGATGATTTTTCTCTGTATCAGAGCATTTTTTGTTAGTTTTCTTTATCTTTGTGTTTGATGCTTAACTGAACCAATCTCACAACATTTGTTCGCAGGGAGGAAGTTTTATTTTGTCCTCGTCGGGAAGCCAACTGATTCGGTTGATACCGGAGAGCTCAGGGAGGATTCACCAGCACGTCCTGCCCCAGGGGCAAGGCGTGCTCTCAGGAATTGGTCGGAGGGTTTCCTCTCTCTTTGGAATTTTGTCTCCTTGTAGTGATCTCATAGTAAGTTTATCAAATAACTGTTTTACAAGCTTATTTCTTAGTGAAATCAGTAAGTTGGAAGTTTCCCATGAAGTTGGTATTGCCTTCGTATGAACAATGGTGCACCCGAAATAAAACCTTGATTTTTTTCAGTGAATCGTTTTTATGCTGATGATCACATGATACCCTGTAACGTTAGTATTCTTAAGTCAGACAGATTGTAAGTACATTTTCTGAATTAAAACTTACGTAAAATTTAAAATGTATTTCTTAAGGATTAACTTGACTTTTTAGACTTGATCAGAAGTGTGTCTCCACTCCCACCTCCAGCTGTCTCTGTGGGTGGCTTGTGTATGGTCTGTTGGCGGGACATCTGCCCAAGGCTCCAGCATGGGGAAGGGGGACGGTGGGAAGTAACATTTATGGCGCATCTGCGCTCTGCCAGCTGCTGACGTTTCTTACCTCGTGTAACTGTTATGGCTGCCTGTAAGGTAAAGGGCTTTCCCTCCAATGTACAGGTGAGGAAGCGCCTCGGAGCGAGCAGAGCTGGGAGTCAGCCAGACCTATCTGCATTTAAAGCAGCGCTCTTTCCCGTTTCACTCCCTCCTTTCAGGTGGCCATTGTCACCTTCTTTAAATGTTCTTTGCACCTAAGACTTAACGTGTCTAAAAAGAAATTTATCATATTTCTTCCTCTCCTCTGGTGACTACATACTTAACCTATGAAATTCATTTCTCTCTTTTTTTTGTTTCTCTCTTGACTTGTCTATTTCTGTTAAGGGCGCCATCACTTTTTCAGTGACCTGGGTACAAAACTTTGTATTTTCTTGTGCCTCCCTCCTTCTGTAGCAAATCACTTATTTTCTAGGTCCTGTAGACCTTGACCAGCCTCATTTCCATCCCCATCTTTCTGTTTCACTCTTGGGCCCTAATCTCCTCTCCTGGTATGTATGTTTCTCCTCAGCTCCTGGTCCGTGTCCGCTGTACTCACTGTTGGTCCTTCCTGCGCTGTTAGTGGCCAGAGTCATGATGACAGGAGACATGGGAGCAGCTAGGGTCTTAACTCAAAATAATCACATATGCCCCGCTAAAAAAAAGCACACATCTGCACTTCATAAGCAAGTATCTACTGGAAAGGGGAAATCACACACCCATGTGTAATTAACTACGCACAGCCCTGCCAGATTCATTTGAACACAACTCTCTTCAAAAGCCATTGATAACATCTCCTTTGCTTATTGGGTTTACAAACTCACGTTCAAGACTCTGCTGTGCGACTTACTTTTTCACTGTTGTTTAGAGAAACCTTATTTTTGCTTTCCATTTACAATCTGTGTTCCAGTTTAGCATTTCTGCTTCCTACTCTCAGAAGACCTTGTACCTTCTCACCCCCGCTCCCCTCCTCCTGGGCCCTCTGCCTTTGTACTTCTGCCAGTGAAATCCTGCCTGGCTCTCAAGGTATTTTTCAGCATCACTCCTTCCTTTGAATCCTGAATGAAGAATAAGTGGTTATAAATACATGAAACTTGAATTCCAGAGAAAAGGGTTATTAACATTAAACTTAATCTGTAAACTTGACTTCTCTCTCCTCTCCCTGTAGCTTTCAAGTGTTCTCTGGGATATAGAGCGAGCGAGCTTCTATAGCCTGACAAGTTCAAACATCAGTAAATGGGAATTAGATGATTCTTCGGAAAAACAAGCATTTAGTTGGGACATAAATAGAGCCCTGAAGGAGAACATCACTGACGCCATTTGGGTAAGGAACGGTGACTCTCGTCTCTGCAGCTCACTGTGGTGGTCGTGTGGTAGTGCTGGTCCCTTTAGTTCTATCCATTTGAGCACATTTCGGTGTAACACACAATGTAGTGTGTAACCATCAGATAAGCAGAAGTGGGTCATCAGTCTCTAGGATGTTGGAAGTCACAGGTGTGCTGCCTAGTAATTTCTAAAAGTGTCCCTTACTCATTCAGCAGTTGTTCAGGCTGATGCAGGCAAGGCATGTTACCAGGTGCTGGGGATGTAAAGGTGGAAAGAAATGATTCCTACACTCCGGGAGTTGATGTTGTTGACATTTTTCTCTAGGGTTCTGAGAGTAACTATGAATCTGTTAAAGAAGGAGTCAACATTCGATATCTGGACTTGAAGCAAAGCTGGTAAGTGATTAACTTGTCATGAAGATACAGATTATAGTTCTGAGAAATAGGCTGATGTTTATTATAGAGTGACGAGCAATCTCGTTTGTTTTCCTGGTGCTGGTCTTCTCATAAGGGCTTTTGCTGTCTTTTATCTAGTGATGCTAGCTTGTTTGGTAAGTTAAGGCATTTCTCGGCCTTCAGTGGTTACCGTAGTTGTCCATTAGTTAGAGATGTAGCTTTTCTGTTGTCATAGCTGGAGCATCTCTTCCTCCTGCCAAGAGGTGCCTGAGACCTGTCTCTCCTCGCTGCTGTGGGTGCCCTGTTCTAGGATCTTTCTCCGCTCACAGAGCTGTCAGGCACACGTCTCCCATCCTCTCTCTGTTGCTTAAGGAGCTGTAGTAGGCCTGCATTTGTGGCTGTGCTGAGTAAGGAAAGGACAGGGTAAGGCTCTGTCTTGGGAGAATAAGTAAGAACTCAGTCATGGTTTATGCTCAGAGTAAATTTCTTCTTAGAAACAGTGCTGTAGGTGGTGCCTAAGATCCCAGCTTAGTCTGATAAAACTAAGTATCCCATGCTACTATTTAACTTTAACATAAAGGTCATACAGAACTTAAAACTTTTGTAACATGGCTTCTACAGGAAAGCTCGTAATGAGTCCAAATGTATGACTAGTTATCCTTTAAAACACGACTTATCAGAAGTTAAAGACCATTTTCATGTGTTTTGGAGTGATTTTTACTGTGTTCTTATTACGTGTGCTGGTTAATAGAGTGAATTCTCCTTGCTCCTCGGAGGGACGCTGCTGTCATTGTAGCACTGTAATCTCTCTCTCTCGGGCTGTTGAGACTGTTAGTAGGCTGCTGCTTTACTTACAGTCTCTGAAAACCTTATAAAAGCTATGCAGGTTCTAAAAGTAATAGTATTTATTTAATTTCTCTAAGTAGCTTTTTGAGTAAATACTGTTTACGCATTTCCGTTGGTCTTTACCAGACTTTTAGAAGTTTAGGACCGCTGCCAGGATGTAGTATGCTTTGAGCATGTAATGCAGACATTTTCACGCAATGTTTTCAGAACTGGGGACATGGGTTGAGAGTGGAGACAAGAAAAGTGACTGGGGTCACTCTGCTGCCCGCCCCAGCCCCCTAGGGCTGCCATGCCTGCTAGACCCTGAGCGCCCGAGTCACCACACTCACTCTCCTCCAGCCCTCCCCAACCCTTACCATGGACGACCCAGCTGTGGCTCTCTTGTGTCCTGGGGCTCTAGTGGTCAGAGCTGTGCAGGGTTTCCCAGGTGGATGGGTTTCTTTTGCTTAATGGTAGTTTTTCTCTTCTCATAGTCATCGGTGCACATTGTTCTGTTCTCCATTTTCTCCAGAGCTATAATTTAGGCTGGTTTTACCAGTGAACAGGCTCATAAGTTCTTTTACTAGATTGTTACTAATACAAGGCTCAGATATCTTCATCGGAGATGTAAAGTTTTTATTTTTGTATATCTTTAATTTATTACTTATCAAATTTTTACTGATTTGCAAAATTCTGATTATCGTCCTCTCATCCTTGCTACCTCGAATAGCTTCATGTTTTTTCAAATGTGAAGATTTTTCTTAAAAAGGTGTCAAATAAAACTGGTCCCAGCACTACTTTGTAAGGAGTCTCAGTGTTTGGTAGCCTAGTGATATGCTTGTTAGGATGACTTTGATGTCAAGCCTCACCGTAGGTATAACCAACTATAACGCCCTGCCCAGTATAGAGAGGGGACTCTCAGGACTGCATGCTCTGAGACCTCACTCAAGCCCGTATGCAAAATATTCTCGTGTGTCACTACAGCTCTTTAGGACATTGCCAGCATGTCACGAATTGGCCGTGTGCCTGTGAACAGTGGTAAGGGTTAGGAGCTTGGGGAAGAGCATGAAGGTGACGAGATTGAGTCGGTTGCCTGGCTGCTTATTTCAGTTGTCAGTAGAGGGCATGTGCCGCTAGTTAATATTTCTGAGACTTGAATGAAAGCTGGTGATAATGCGACTGGTGTTTTGGAAGTAATGAAATTGGAGATCATTTAATTCTTTGTTGGGGGCAACAACTCTAATAGACTTTAAGCACCGGTAAGCTTTAAGTTGCAGAAAGGTTTGTTTTCAACATATACAGCAGCTTGAAATTTCTATAACTGACGATTAAAATTAAAAATAAAATGTTTTTTTCTCTGGACAGCGGCAAGTAAACATTAAATAACTGATTAGATCAGGGTTAGCAAACATTTTCTGTAAAGACCCCAGAAGTAACTATTTTAGGTTTAGGGACCATGTAGTCTGTATTACAGCTACCCTGTTCCACCCGTGGTAGCTTGAAGCATGGTTACCTTCCAACAAAACTTTTTGTACAAAAGCTGGCCTGGGCTCAGTTTGGCCTGAGGGTTACATATATATAAAAATTCACCCTCTTCAGTGTATGTCTGAGTGTGAGCTGACAGTAGAATGCCCACCAGACTGAGAAGGTATCCTGAGACCAAAGAATGAAGCAGGCAACTTGACGTGGTTAACAAGGAGATGACGATGATGGTGATGATGATGATGAAGAATGGGTGAGTTACTTACAGGGAATGGATCAGGCAGACTATTGATTTGGATGCTGTGTGGCTGTTTTCTCTGCAGTCCTGGGGGGCAGAGTTGAAGCTTCTGAGGGACTTAGGGACAAAAGTGGAGCTGTGCCAAGGAGAGAGGCTGTGGAAGTGGAAGATTCCCAGGTGCCTCGTAGCCTCCTGTTGCTTATCCTTAGGGTTGCCGGCATCACTCTACTTACCCTACACAAGCATAGCATTCTGTTCCTTGCCTTCCTTAGTTGCTAAGCAACCTGTGTGTGGTGGGGGGATTGTAACTTTTTTTTTTTCCTTTTTGTCTTTTTTTGTGACCGGCAACGGATCGCAACCCTCAGTGTCGCGCCCGTACCGGACTGAGACCGGCAACGGGATCGCAACCCTCGGTGTTGCGCCCGCACCTCGCTCAGCCAGTGAGCAGCTGGTCTGTATGTGGGATCCGAACCCTCGGCGGGAGCACCACCGCGCTCCCAAGTGGCGCACTGTAGCAGTGCGCCACCGGGCTGGCCCCGGGGGGATTGTAACTTTTGAAGCCAGAGTTCTGAAGGCTACAAGGGTGGAGTGAGTTCTGACCAGCATTCCTGCAGCAATTCTACAAGTTTTGGCAGATGCGTACAGTAATAACCACATCCACGATCAAGAACGAAACTGCCTTGTACCTTTTGCAGTCACCCTCCCTCTGCTCCCAGTCCCTGGAAACCATTGATCTGCGTATCATCCCTTTGTCTATGCCTTTTTCAGAACACTGTAGAGATGGAATTGTACAGTGTGAAGCCTTTCAACTTTCTGTCACAATGCATTTGAAATTCATTCAATAATTTCTTCCTTTTTACTGCTGGGTAGTATTCCACTGTGTGGACACACCAAGGTTTGCTTATTCAGCAGTTGAAAGACACTGGGTTGTTTCTAGTTTGGCGCAATCCTGAATAAAAACACTATAAACATTTGTATACAAGTTTGTGTGTAAACATAAATTTTTTTTTCTCTTGCATAAGTAGGAGTTGGATTGCTAGGTTATGTGGTAAGTATAAGTTTAATATTAGAAGAAACTGCCAAGGTGTTTTCTGAAGACGGTGGATTTCTTCTTTTTCATTGATTAGTGATGGGCTCCTGATTTTGGCAGCAGCATGGCACCCGGCAGACAATCCATGTCTCGTCTATTACTCTCTGATAACTGTGGAAGATAATGGCCACCAGATGTCAGATGCAATTACTGTAGAAGTCACTCAGTATAGTCCACCTTTTCAGGTAAGATTTATGTCTGTGAGTTAAGTTACAAAGTGGCAATTATACATTGAGTTTTTTCTAACCATGGCAGTGTCAAATTCTTTGTGGTGGTTGTGGCATCTAGTCGCTTTCATGGCAGCCATGATTATTGTGGTGGCTGTGGTGGGCCACCCACATGGATGTGATGTTTTTGGCATGCTCCCTGGTGCTGGCAGTTGCCTGGTTGTGGGATGGTCCAGTCCCCGGCTCCATCCCTTGGGTCCTCTGGCAGGCCCCAAGGTTGTGACTGGTTATGGGAGGGAAGTCCGGTCCCCGGCTCCCTCTCTTGGGTCCCCTGGCAGGCTCCGAGGTTGTGACTGGTTGTGGGAGGGCAGTCCGGTCCCCGGCTCCATCCCTTGGGTCCCCTGGCAGGCCCTGAGGTTGTGACTGGTTGTGGGAAGGCAGTCCGGTCCTCGGCTCCATCCCTCAGGTCCCCGGGAATGCTCTGAGGCTCTGGTGCCGTGTGCCTGGTTGTGGGAGGGGGGCCCAGTCCCCAGCTTCATCCCTCGGGTCCCCAGGCGGGCCCTGAGGCACTGGTGGTGTGCCTGGGCCAGAACTAATTTTTTGTCCTTTGCTCATTTCTAAAATGTGGGAACCAGTACTTGAGCTGTGTTATTGAGCTAAATTGCTGCCTTGCCTCTGTTTCCCTTTGGGAAGGCTTTTTGTGCAGCTCAGGGTTTAATGGTTGACCTTATAGGTACTTCCAGCTCTCCAGAGACCTGGTGCACCTGGGTTGTGTAGAAACTCTGATCCGGGCCTGAATTTTTTTATCAAACTGCACCCTATGCAATTCTGCATTCCAGACCAGTCTCCTCTGAGTGGTCCTGCACTGATTGGGGGGCAGATTGGCTGTCCTTGCTGTGCCCCAGTGTTCTTCTGGTGGGCCTGTCTCCCCCACCGTCTGTGCTCCAAAGACTTCCCATGGGATGGGCCCTGTGCTTGTCCCTTGCGATGACTCACTGGCCTCTGAATGACTCCCCTTTTTCAGCTATTCTGGTTCCTTGCTCCTGTGTGGGTCCATGGGAACTGTATTAGTGGTCTTGCTGTCCTGGGGGCCACCAAGGCCCTCTTCCCTACTGCCACCAGGCAACTCCATCCAAAGGGCACAGCTGCGGCTTCTGCTGGCTCCTGCTGGCTCCTGCTCCCTCCTGCTCCATGTGCTCAGCAGCTCCAGCCTTAAAGTGGCCATGGCTCGAAATACTCCAAGCCGTTTTTTCTTTCTCTCATCGTGGCTTCTCCCACCTTCATGCACTGCGTAGGTCTCTCCTCCTCATTCCCTGAGCTCCAGCAGCCCCAGCTTGGCTGATGTTACATTTTTATAGCTGTAAATTGGTTGATTTGTGGGAGAGAGTGACACTGGGGACCGTCTATTCTGCCATCTTTAGTGGAACTCTTCAAAATTTTTCTTTTTTTTTTTCCCCCTTTTTGTCTTTTTTACTGACCGGTAACGGGATCGCAACCCTCGGTGTCACACCCGTACTGGGGACCGGCAACGGGATTGCAACCCTCAGTGCTGCACCCAGCTCAGCCAGTGAGCGGGAACCGGTCTCCACATGGGATCCGAACCCTCGGCGGGAGCGCCACCGCACTCCCAAGCGGCGCACTCTCCAGTGCGCCACCGGGCCGGCCCCAAATTTTTCTTTTTATACAAGTTTATTTTGGTGTTTTGACAATTTGGTGATTCTTTGCAACTCGACAAATGATTTATCTAATTGATGTTTATGAATTTATTCTGTTATATTCTATAAATCATTTCATGGGTGGTGTTTAGGCAGGAGAATCAGTGAATTATCGTTTTGTCATTTTTATGAGGTAATCTACAAAATGAATTATAAAGTCAGATAGATAATTTTGTTTCAATTCTCATTAACTATAATCTTAAACTTAACTTTCAGTCTGAAGACCTGATTATGTGTCGATTAATGGTCCCAAACTTTTCAAGCCAAACTGCCTATCTGTACACCGAAAATGCTGTCTATGTGTGCTCCACAGGAACTGGGAAATTTTCTCTTCCGCAGGAGAAAATTGTCTTCAATTCACAAGGTATAGTAGCAGTTAAGCATGAGTCATCCTGAGTAGTATTCATTCTCTTTTCATGAATGTTGCTTCAAGCATGCTGCCTCCAAGTGTGACTGAGACATTTAGCACCACACCTAGAGCAGCTGAAGTCGTAACCCTACTGAAAAACCAAAAGGTGCTGGAATTCCCAAACTGCTATATTTACAGGCAAAAAATAGTAACATATGTCCCAGGAGAAAAGGCCAAGAAGAAAGGAACTGACACTAAAAGCAGTGCAGTGATTGCCTATTCCTAGTTAGTAAGAGTGTTGCAGAATGAATAATTCTCTTTTTTGGCTCACTGTACTCACTGCTGTTTTGCAAGGTTGGTTTTTATTGTCCTTAAAGCTGAAGGACACAGAGCCTGCTTCTTCAAACAGCAATAGGTTCTTGACATTTGATTCTGGGATTAAAAGCCAATTTCAAAGTACGGATAATATTGTAAAGGGAAAAAATATGTTCTTAATATATTGTCAAATGATTTTCTGCTTGTGGTAGATTTTAGAAAGTTTCTTTTTGTTGTTATGTATATTTGACTGTGCACATTCCTTCCTTTTAGGAGACAGTGTTTTAGGCGCTGGTTCCTGTGGCGGTATTCCTATCATTTTTTCTAGGAACAGTGGACTGGTGTCTATTACTTCAAGGGAAAACGTGTCCACATTAGTAGAAGACCTTGAAGACTCCTTGGCTTCAGTCGCGGGACCAAACAATGACGTAACGTGGTTCCATAATGTTTTTTATTTGATTTTCATCAGAGTGTCTCACACAAATGTTTTTAGATGTCAGTTTTGAAAGACGATGGAAACGTTAGGTCTCTCACCTACCTTATCCCTTGTGCTCTTTCCCATAAGTACCTGCTGTCAAGTCTTTCAGCTGTTTCTTCTGGTATATTCTCCATCATTCTAAGTAATGTGCATGTATTACTGTCTCCAGATTTCATTTCCTATTATAGAAAATGAGGTTTTGGGGTAACTTCTACTCCCTTTTCTGCCTTTATTATTTCAGTATAAATTTTTTCTATCATAATGACTGAATATTATTTATGGTTTACTGAGCCAAGTAATGTACTGACTACATTTTATAGATTGTACAGCTTTTTTTGATTCTTAGAGTGCATAATGACCTCATGTTATATTTTCTTGCTTTTCCTTTAATATCTGACATAATTTTCCTAACCCTAACCCCCCAGCAGCTCTGTAAAATGCCTCTCAGTAGCTTTTCCCATAGCCAGTCTCAAGTCCTCCTGGAACTTTCCTCTTCCACTGTCCTCGTCCCCTCTCAGCTCTGCTGTCAGCCGTTCCTTCTGGTTTCCGTTTTCCTGTGTCTTAGTTAGAGTCACAGATGTTTCCATGGAGCTTATGTTTCTGTTTCTTCTTGTTGTTCTGGGATGATTTTGGAGAGGGATAGTTGGGTAAAAACCATCAATTTTTTTTCTGTCATCTTGAAACCTATTCATAAGGTTTTTGTCATTCTTTTACAGGAGACTAAAAATTCTATTGTTTGGGGTAATTTCCATTTGAATAGTATATGCAATATATAAGACTACTTCTATAGCTCAAAATTAAAGTGATTTGGCAGTTTTAACAGAAAGTAACAATTTTTTTATTTTGATTTTTATAATCATTTGGTTATTGTAATATTGTTACATATTCTGATGCTATTTTACAGTATTTCATTTCTTTTAAATTTTTCTGAATCCTTAAAAATAAACTTTTAACCAACCATGATGCTTAGTGTAGTATATACATCATGTTGAGTTGTGTAAGAGCAAACCTATAAAAAGATTTTGTTGGTTTGTGATGAAATCTTCAAATAATTTTATTCACAATGTAACTTCTGAATTATCAGTGCCTTTTCTGTAGGACTTTGGTTGATCATTTGGTGCTGTTTATGGTGTTTCAATAAGTACGTAAATGATAGTATTCATGGACAGTACGGCGAACAGCTTGAGTGTGTGTGTTGCTGTCATAGGGTAGGCCCAGTTTTTAATCTAATAATTAAAAATATTTAGATACCTTCCCCTCTAAACTACAGTTTGTTATTTTGCAGAGTATGTTTTTTGAGACCACTACAAAGAGTGAAACCATAGCACAGGAGGATAAAACCAAGCTGTTCAAGGCTGCTTTTCTGCAATACTGCAGGTACAGCATGGTTTTAAATTATGTCTGATGACATGTTTTACCGACATACGCTGCTCACTCATTGACTGGTGGGAGCAAGTTGAAGGAATGATGCCATCAAGAAAAGAATGTTTTTCTGAGCTTTTGCAATTTAACAAATTGCTGTTCTGAACTTGGTAGCCTCAGGGGGGTTCCAGCCAGCTAGGTTAGGAAAAAAAATGTGATCTAACATACGCTCTGCACTTAGTGGAAAACAGTGTACCACTAGGAATGTGATCGTGAAGACAGCTTGCAAGGGTCTTTTATGTATACTGCTAAAATGCAGGTGTATTCCATACGAAGTTCCATCAATGGTGTATTAGAGTTAGACCTGGCCTCTTACTGGTTTTGCTGCATACAAAATCACCATCAACCTGGTGGCTTATTTAATGCAGCTTATGATTCTGCGCCCTTGGCCAGCCAACTCTCTCTGTTCCATGTGGCCTCTCATCGTCTTGCAGGCCACCCCGGGCTTGTGCACACGTCACAGGGCTCCAGAAGTGGCAGGAGAGCAAGCCTCTTCAGTCTCTGTTCGGGTGGTGCTGCTAGTCCTGCCAGCCAGAGCAAGTCACAGGGTGAGCCATGGCATAGGGCACCCAGGCTGGTGTGCACCTGGGGAGGGGGTGCTTGTGTGCACTGTGTCACGCATGCAGATCTGGTACTCTTCTGATTTAAGGCAAGTTCAGATGTCAGTTTACTCTGGACTTGGATTCTGCGTGTGATGTGGTACCTGCATACGATAAGGTCTGCGTAGGATATGGTACATTGCTGGTACCTTCCTTAAAAGGCATAGGGAATTCATATTTGAATAAACATGCAGGAAGATTGTGATCCAGCTCTTGCTGTGCCCCTAATTAGCTGTGTGAGAGAGACTTTGGTCAGATTGCTTAATGTTTCTGGCATTCCCTTTCTTCCTTTTCAAAGTGTTGAGTGGGGTGAAGTTGTAATGGAGGAAGGTCATTAGTTTTTCTGTCAGATCTTTGTTTTAAAAAAGTAGCAGAGTTCTAGTTCTCAGCTATGATTCCATAATCCCATCTAGTGGCATCTGACACATGGAGGCTCACTCTCACACAAGAGTCTATGCGTGTGCATGGCACATGTGACACGTGGAGGCTCACTCCCGCAGAAGGCAGTGCATGGTTTCTGAAGTGCTTCATGGTCTTAAGACTCTGTGCCTTACCCTGCCCTGCGGAGCCTGCTCTCTTGTCCAGAAGGGGGCACCACCAGACAGGTTTGGTTTTTGTTTTAAACAGTATTCTTTTCATCGTCTTCTGTTACATGGTTCAATCTTACTGCAAAGATTTGAGTTAAAATACTGCGATTCATCTTGCACACATTTATCCTGCAGTCACAATTCTGTGGGAGTTGTAGCATCTCAGGACGTAAATGATAACACAGCAAGTCACTGCAGTCACTATATGTTAATGTCCCACGGCTGCCTTAACAAATCACTGTAGTTAGAATCTGTTCTCTCTCTCAGTTCCGGAGGCTGGAATCAAGGCATCAGCAGGGCCGTGCTCCTTCAGAAGCCTCTGAGGCAGAGTCGGCCCCTCCTCTCCTGGCTTCTGGGGGCTGCAGCCTCCCCTGCCTGTCCTTGGCTTGTGGGTGCATCACACGGCCCCTCCATGTAGTGGTCCTCACATGGCCTTCTTATAAGGACACCTGTCATTGGATTTAGGGCCCACCCTAACACTTGTCTTGATTTAACAATTATATCTGCGAAAATATCCAAGTAAGGTCGCATTCTGAGGCTTTGGGTGGACATGAGTTTGTGGGCACACTGTTCAACCCAGTGCAGTCATTTTAAATGTTTAGTGGGGAGATTACTAGATATGAGAAGGACCCCCGGCCCTAAATGCTGAGAGTGTGGTAGCTGCAAGAGCAGTGTCATTGAGCCTCTAGCATGGCTGTGCTAGACTCGTTCTGCTCCAATGAGTAAGGGGCAGTGGGCCTGACAAGTGGCTGGTTCTGGGTGCATGTCAGGCAGTAGTCCTGCAGAAGTAGACTCTTCACAGATAGAACTGGGATGCCTTTCAAGCAGGAGTTCTAAATCCGTCAGTATTGACACTTGAGCCCAGGTGATTTTTTGCTGTGGGGGCTGTCCTGTGAATTGTAGGCTGCTTAGCAGCATCTCTGGCCTCTTCCCACTAGACAATCGGACCCTTTCTCCCAACTTGAGACAACCAGACTTATCTTCAGTCATCACCATCCGCCCCCTGGGGTCAAAATTGGAGGTAACACTTAGTTTGTTGCTAAGGTAATATTACTGTTTTCGTAGCATAATTTCTTTGAAATTAATTTTTTTATTGCTTTGGTTTTTGTTTTTCCTAATTTAAAACATAACGAATATAAAATGCTTTGTTCATGAGAGTTTTAGGAAACTTACTCTGAAGTTGCTGATATACCTTGGCATGCTCACCTCTGTGTTCCCATACCCTGTGGTGAGCCTAGTCTCCAGCCTCCCGCCTGTCACACTTCCTCGCAGTTTTCGTGCATTTCTTTGGACAGCTCTGTCTTCTTTTTTACCAACACCGCTTCTGCCCTTCGCTAATCTCCAGCTCCCCGTTTCTCTCCCTCCTCTCTCACTTAGTGGATGGTGGAGGTCATGGCAGCCATTAGGTGGGAACTCCGTGAACACACTGCCCGTAGGCCTGCCTGCATCCCTGCTGCTTTTCTGCTTTTTCTGCCAGTGAGTAGGGAGGTGTCCTCCCCTTCCTGCTGGAAGAGCATCCTTTGTTTGGAATGCCACTCTGCTTACCTCCTTGGGCTGTCCTTCCTCCATCTGACCTTTCCTGTGCTGGCCCTTCCTTGGCGGCAGTTAACCGTACTTAATCTGCACTCCTAGAAAGACCAGTCTTTGACTTTGTGTTCCCTTTGAGATGCCCCCTCTCTGTTTGCTGCTCTTTACAGCTGCACTACCTCTCCGTGCTCCCTGCGTGGTCTGCCTCCCTCCCCCGGCTTCATCAGATAAAGAGACACAGGTATAAAGATACACGAGCACAGGATGTCCCAGGGCAGTTGCATATTTCACGGGCACCTCAGTTACAGCATGTCCAAAATGGAGCTTGTCTTCTCGAAGCTTCGTCTTCCTTCTGTGCCCCGTCACGTTTTGAGCACTGCTACCTGTTCAGTTGCTCAGAGCAGAATCGGGGGGTCATCCTGGTACCTCAGGCCGAGCCAGTTGCCCAGCTTCCTTGCAGTGACCTCCTGACTAGATTTGCCTCCTTCCTGTCTGATCCACCATCCAATCCACTCTCCGTGTTGTGGAATGATCTCTGAGGAAATAGAACAGGTCATGACACTTCCTTCTCAGTGCCTTTCTGTTGCCATCTGGATTATCTTCAGACTCCATATTGTGGTTACAAGACTTCATGGGCTCTGATTTTGTGACTCGCCCCTTGTGAATATGACTCATTTCTTGACGTGAGCCATGCTTCATCCCTGCTTGGGTTCATCGAGACCCTGGTTGTCCTCTAATCTCTCTGACCAGTTTAGAAGTATGGGCTGCTGTTTATGGGCGCACCTGTCCTTTAATTGGTTTCCCTGGAACCTTTGTTCTAAATTCTCTCCCCCCCGGGTGATCTTGGTCTCCTATGGCTTCAGTTCTCTGCTGAGACACAAGCTCACCTGCCGGCAGGTGTGGACGTATGCGCTGTGTGCCACTGTGTGCCCCTCCCCAGACTGTCCCCACCCACCCTTGCTCGACCTCTTCTGTGCACGTCGGGAAGTTTTCCTTGCCCCTCTGGTGGGCCTGGTGTCCCTTCTGTTGCTCTGGGCCCTCTGATCTTCCCTGCGGTGGTGCTAGTCACACTGCATGTGTCTTTGCTGGTTTAATTGGCTGAGTCCTCACAACACTGCACACTCTGTGAAGTCCGGAACTTATTTATCATTCTGTGTCCAGGGCCTAGCTCACTTTAAGTAATCAGTATATTTTTGCGGAATTAATGAATGCATAATAGTGTTCTCCCTTTATTTAATCGAAAATAAATTTTATTAAAAGTAACTTTGGGGGGGCGGCCTGGTGGCGCACTGCTACAGTGCGCCACTTGGGAGCACGGCAGCGCTCCCGCCGAGGGTTCGGATCCCACATACAGACCGGTTCCCGCTCACTGGCTGAGCGAGGTGCGGGCGCAGCACCGAGGGTTGCGATCCCGTTGCCGGTCCCGGTCCGGGCGCGACACTGAGGGTTGCGATCCGTTGCTGGACACGAAAAAAGACAAAAAGGAAAAAAAAAAAGTAACTTTGGGCTAAACTCTATAAATGGGGCATTAACAACTTTTTCTTGGTGAGTTTTGAGAACGTTTAGCCTCCCTTAATTCTTGGGTTTTCCAATTTTATTTCAGAAAAGATTTTGTTCGTGCTCAGATGATGGTGGATGAGCTATTTTCCTCTCAGGCTGATTTGGATTCTGATTCTGAGCTAGACAGGACTGTTACCCAGCTGAGTTTAGACCTGGTGGACGACTACCCAGCTTCTGATCCACGGTGGGCTGAATCTGTCCTCGAGGGTAAGAACATCTTCATTTTAATATTGTGGAATGACCTGTTTTGAGAAGAATATTCTGGTTCTTTATCAAAAGCATCTCTCAAAGCATGCTTTTTAGTTTCTCAAACAATTTAGTATTAATTCAGTATTTTTTAAAGGGTTGTAACATTCTGTAGATGAGATTCTGAAAAGTGCTCAGAGCAGATCTAGATGAAAACTGAGGGGACATTGGAGCGAATCCTACTTGTGCTGTTGGAGGCAGGCTAGCCCTGCTCAGCTTTCTCGGCTTTTATTTCTAGCAGGAGATGGGTGGCAAGGGTAGGCATTTGGCTCCTACTTGCCCCAAATTGAGTTATAATTTTGGCACAGTCAGTGTATTTGGCTAATAGAAATTATACATTCTGCTAAAGTGACAGTGAGCCGGTCTCAGCACACAGACGTGGGCATGTCATGTCCTCCTGCCGCCCAGTCAACTGCCCTCTTACCTGCCCTTCCACCCCAGCAGTGAGGGGGGTACCCGTGTGCCAGGCGCGGGCTCAAACACGTCCCCTGTGTGTTTGAGGGATGTGTTTGCCAAGCGGCAGCTGTGGGAAGAGAACATCAGTGCCCCTCCTTGCTCATGCTCTTTCTTTGGAGCTGTCGAGCTTAAATGATGTAAATGGTTAACCCAACACATTGTGCGTTTTGAGTAAATATAGTGTAAATTGTATCAAAACCCCCAAATTTTCCTCTAAACTTTAAGTTCCTGTGTAATGTTATGGATAATTTTATTAAAAGGTTGGTCGTTTTGTGTAGGTTTTCTTAACTTTTCATTTTAGTAGTAGTGATTATTGTAGAATGAATGTGTTAGTGTTCACGTTTCATTGCTGTGCTTTCATAGAATCCCCCAGGTTCAGCAACACGTCGCTGATTATTCTTCACCAGCTGGAGGACAAGATGAAAGCCCACTCTCTCCTCATGGACTTCATCCACCACGTGAGGGTCGCGGCTGCTGAGGGGGTGCTCGGGACGCCTGGCTGTGCTGCGCTCTGCCCCCGCACTCGCCTTCTCAGGGGCTTTGCTGGGTGGGGCGTGGCCAGTGTTCTCCATTTTCTGTGCTGACTTAAATAATTCCGGGGCTGTGTGGAGGCCTGTGACTACACGATGAAAAGCAGGATTTTGTTCAGATTTCCTGTGTGCGTTCATGTAGAAACTTAGGTTTTCATAAGTTGATTTTGTGTGATTAGAAAGACAGGAATGTTAAGGCAATGACAGATTTTTATATATGAATTTTCAATTTTGAAGTGCCGTTAGAGTCAAGTCCACATTTGAAGTAATCCATTTCCTTTTGTAAAGGGTGTCCCCATATGTATTGAGCCTAAATGAGGAAACGTTTTTGCTGCTGGACAGGATTCACCCATCCCTGCCTTGTTGATAAATAGTGGCTCCCAGGTGTATTACATATCCAAATGGGCAAATTTCTTTCTGTTTCTGACTATTTTTTTCCAAACCCAGTTATGCCACCATGCTAAGGAGACTGTAGTCAGTGCTGTGTGATGGAACTTTCAGTGAGGCGGGAATGTTCTGTGCTGTACTCTCTGTATGGTAGCCACCTGCTGCATGTCCACCGCGCACTTGAGATGTGGCTGTGCAACTGCAGAACTAATCTTTATTTTAATTAGTTAAATTTAAATTAGCCACTAGGCCAATGTCCAGAGTTTCATCCCTGCACTGGCCAGCCCCGAAATAAATAAGCCACTAGTAGCTAGGCCAACGTCCGGGATTTCATCCCTGCACCAGCCAGCTGCCAAAATAAATAAATAAATAAGTCACCTTATTGGACAGTGCAGCTCTAGATGATTCCAGAAGTAACTTTACTGTTCCTAATCCCATGTTCTATTTCAGTTTTAATGCATGGCTTGATTTCTGTCTACTCTTTTGTTGTCTTGGTGAGAAAACTCCAATTGTTTATTTAGACTCTTTTTTTTTTTTAGTATTTTAGGTAGGCTATGGATTACTGGGGAAAAAAATACATTTTCTCCTGATGTAGTCACTTACTTAGCCAAGTGTATCAGTTAACTATTACTACATCACAAACCATCCCAAAACATGGTGGCTTGTAGCAGCTCTGGGGGCTAGCCAGGCGGTTCTGCCACTCTCACCTGGGGCCGCTCCTTGGCCTGTGTGGGATGCACTGAGCAGAAGGTCCAGGCCTCACTTGCCTCTGGCAGCTGGTGCTGGGGCTATGTGGGCAGCTCCACCTGGACTCTCATCCTCCTGGAAGCAGAACTGGTCTCAGGGCAGCGTTCCCAGGGATGAACACAGAAGCTGTAGGCTTTGTAGGGCTCTCCTCAGATGTCACATGATGTCACTTTCACCAAGTAACACTGGTCAAAGCAAGCCACAAGGCCAGCCTAGGTGGAAGGGATCAATGGTAGACGTGTCAGAGTCACCCCAGTGTACAAGGTGTGCATACTTGGCTGGGCAGAGCTCATGCATGCCAGTTCCTCAGAGGCAGAGGCCATACCAGCATGAGCTCGCAGCATCCTGTAGTGGGCCCCAGACCCCACAACTACTGGTGGCACTGTCTGTTGCAAGGCAGTGTCTTGCTACATCTGAAAACCATATTCTGGCTATGCCTCCTACATTTCCATTTCCTTTAATATCTAGAGCTTATTTTACTAGTCAGGAAGAATTTGTGTTAATAATCAGGAGAAGTGGACAACTGGATACTTCTATCTAAGGAAATATTTCTGAATATAGGGCTCCTCTTCTCCTCAGGCCGCACTGGCCACCAGCAAGGCGACATCCTTATCTGGAGGGGGCGGGAAGCGATCTCAGTGCCTGAGAATGATCCCGTTGCCTCTGGTTTTCTGGTGTTGAGGGCAGCCTCCGTCCTCGCACGCAGCTGCGGGGGGTTGACCCAGCACTGCTGCTTCAGCATGGACACTGCGGTACCAAAGCGACGTGAGGCAGCCAGGAACTGCCCTCTAGATACTTGTGAGGCAACCAGGAACTGAACTCAAAGCAGGAAAGGCTGTGTAAATCTTACTGTAAGACAGTTAGGCAGACAGGTTGAGTAAATTAGGAAGAATCATGAAAAATAGTGGAGACTATCTGAATGTATTATGAAGAAAAGTAAGATGCTGTCAAATAAAGCAAGGTACTGACAGTGTGACCCTTACTGTGCTTAAAAAAGGTATCTCCTAGCATGTAAATATTATGAAAACATATAAAAAGAAGGATATAAAAATATCACTTATTAATGAAAGGGATTATACTGGGCATATGGAAAAGTATCCATTGTTTACATCTGTCTCTTGGCTTCTGATGTGGGTTACTGTCACATTGTGTCAAGTGAGAAAGCTTGGGAACCTCCTAGATAGAGCCTTGTAACTCACCAGAAATGGGCATCAGTCAGATTAGAAGTAGGAGGTGCAGACCAGACTCTCCACCTTCCCCACAGCCTGAGGTTCTAGATATGAATCCTCGAAGGTGAAGGGTGCTGAGTTCCTGGCTCCCAAAAATCTGGTGTCTAGGGAGTTAACAGATGTATCTGGAAAAGACCACTGTGCCCGTCCTGATAACCATAACAGAATGTGGGAAACAGGGTAGGTGAAGACAGCAGTGGTGGACAGAAACTCCGGAGTGACCTGGTCACAGAACAGGCGTCAGCCGCCTTGGCTGATGTGTGTGTTAGAACAGCCAGAGTGAGAGACAGCCCAAGGGACTTGTAGGCTGGAGATGGGACGTGTGGCTCTGCACATGCTCGTAAACGCTTTCTGGAACACGTGCTTGTCTCACCAGGTTGGCCTGTTCGGGCGTCTGCGCGTGTTCCCGGTCAGAGGGGCGCCCATGGCGACACGTCTGCTGCTCCGGGAGCATGCCGAGAAGTTGTCAGCTGCCATTGTCCTCAAGAACCACCACTCCCGGCTCTGTGACCTGGTGAACACGGCCATATCGATGGCCTTGAGCAAGAGGGAGTGCGAGATCCCGCCCAGCCTGACCCCTGCTGATGTCTTTTTCCGAGAGGTATGCCCTTCATGCCCCAAGCAGGGATCACAGCGTGGACACATTAATAGGAAAGGTCTCATGGAAGGTTGACGTTGGACTCCGTGTTTTCAGGATGAAGCATCCCTCACAGGTGGCCCTCGTCCGTGGCTTGCCTGTAAGTGGAGCTTGCAGGATTAACCAGGAGGCACTCCCTGCTGCTTCCCTGTCTTCCCGAGTCCTGTCTTGACTGCTCGGGAAGGTGGCCTTGCTCCACGGGCTGCTGTCAGGTCTGACGAGCGCGAGGTGGTTCTTCCACAGCTGCCCTGCCCACCTCGTCCACAGCGCAGGGGCCATGCCCCATGGGAGCCACACTCCATCCCGCGGCACACCTCGCCCCTGCAGGCCTGGGGTGCTGACGGCTCGCCTGTAGTCCTGCCCACAGCTTTGTAAACAATCCCTTCCCTGACACGCCTCACTCGTAAAATCAGATTTATTTCCAGGGGAAAAGAAAAGCGTGCCGTGCACTTCAGAGGGAGAAAAGGTTGGGATGCCGCCAGCCGGTGGCAGCTGGATGTTGTGGTGATGGCCACACAGTTCCTGAACTTGTGTGTGCTCTACGCTCCCTGTAAGATTGACGGAGCACTCAGGAGGCCCTTGTCTTTTTTTTTTTTTTTTTGGTGGCTGGCTGTTATAGGGATCCACACCTGTGATCTTGGGACTATAGGGCTGTGCTCTGACCAGCTGAGCTGACCAGCCAGCCCTGCTTGTCTTAACGAGGCTGCAGACCCTGGTTGACTCCCTATTTCGGGCATGGTCATAGGCCCTTGTTTTTTTTTTTTTTTTTTTGGTGGCTGGCTGTTATAGGGATCCACACCTGTGATCTTGGGACTATAGGGCTGTGCTCTGACCAGCTGAGCTGACCAGCCAGCCCTGCTTGTCTTAACGAGGCTGCAGACCCTGGTTGACTCCCTATTTCGGGCATGGTCATAGGTTGTTTCTGGAGTTTATAAGTCCTTGGTAAAGACAGTCTCTTTTCTCTTCATGGCATTGTCTGATTTTAGAAATAGTGCCAGCTCTTCCCTCAGCTCCGTGTGACCTGGAGTTTCTTTTGCGTTTGAGGAACCTGTAACTCTATTTGGTGTCTCACATGTCATGTCCTTCCTCCCACAGTTAGCTGTGTTCCAGCATCCAACACACTGTGCCAGTACTTGGTGTTTGATGGATGTACTTTGAATTCCTTGTGTTTATACATTTGGGTTAGCTCCTATGAATGCAGGAAAAGCACTCTGTTTTGCTTTTTTAATCTCGGAAATAAGCCAGAAATGTGAATGGAAGAAAAGCAACTCACCTTAAGTTTTGTGATCTAACAAGTCAAGTTATTGTATTTTTTGTGTCCTTTTTGGTCTTTATTCAAATGCAATTTTACATGATAAAACAAAGGTTTCTTTTTAATTGTTAATGGTAAATTACTTGAAAGAACTGAGCGAGAGCCTGGTTCCTCTTTCTGCACTTGGATAAAGGCAGAGTTAGTAGTCAGTTCAGTGTGTGTTCACTTCCCAGCTCATTGAAGACAAGTGAAGGGTCTGGAAGTTGTCAGTTGGATACGTAATTTATGAATAGGACTTTGGGAATATGGTGCAGCAGAGCTAAAAATGTGACTGGTTCCTCAGAAGAGCCCTGACCTAAAACGCAGCAGTGCTCAGACCATTCACATCCTGCTCGGCCTCAGTTCTCATGAGGTTTGCTGGTCTTTCAGCCTCCTGCACTCTGGACAGGGAATGCGTGAAGACCATGAATGTAGTCACACAGGGATTTTTATTTCTCTTTCCCTGTCCTTCCACTTGCAGTGTCAAATTATATTTCTAAAGGGTATTAGCATTTTAAGAAGAGCTGGTTAACCCAAATTGGTGGTCCGCATAGGGAGACGTTTTTGAGTTGGCTGTGCTGACAGAAAGTAACAGAATCTGTGTGAGGGTCCACACTCCACCCTGCTGCCTGCCTCCAGTTTGGGAAGCAGTCGATGCTTCTAGGGCTTTCTATGAGCACAGCCAGCTGCTGAAGGAGCAGACCACGTTGGCACAGCTTATGAGCAGTATTTGAAACCACTGACTGTACACGTGGTAGGAGCATTAGCAAGTGTTTGGGCATTTTATTGCCTTACTGTTTTCTGCTTTTTACATCATACATACTTTCATTATGTTTTTCATAATAACAGTTTGAAAGACTCTTACACTTAACTTTACAGATTAAATGTGCCGATGGCTTCCTGTTGGGATTCCATTGGCTAGTATCAGAAATACAGAAGGAAGAACAAGGTTGGGCCACAGGAGAGTAATTTTTCACGTGCGTGCACTTCTGCTCTTGAGCTCCCGGAGGTGGCAGCTCTGGGTCTCTTTCCTCTCACCTCTGAGTGCTCAGAGCAGCGCAGACTAGGCAAAGGGGAAGCTTCATTTGGACTGAAACCAGAAACGTGAGCTTCGGTGCCTAAGGACATTCTTGTACCGTTACCTTCACGTGGTATTAATGGCAGAAAATAGAGGCCTTAGAAGTTGTGTATTTAGTTCATTATTTTCTCATATTGTTTACTGCTATTCTGCAGACATTTCTGTTATGTCTAAAGAAGGGGAATTCCTCAAAGAAAAATTATCAAGTTCATTAATTTGGGTCATTATTTAAATCCATCAGTTAATTAATTTGTGGTCTTACGTTGTCAAGAGATGTCATTTGTTACCTACTGCTATTTAAAGGTTGCATTGAGTACTAATGGCTATAATAAACAAATATTTCAGTTACTTGGAGTTTAAGTTAAAAATCTGCTTGCCCAACATCAAGGGCTTGGGTCCCTATACCAGCCAGCCACCAAAAAATAAAAATCTACTTGGTAGTAATCCAGAATTTGCCTATTTATAACACAGTTATTTGGGCACTCAAACTTAAAAATTAGAAGATTCTAACTTTTTTTGGTCTTTAAGTTTATTTGCACCACTAACTCTCAGTAAATTTTCTCCTGATGATCTGAGGATGTGGCTGGTGCGTGACCCACTGAGTATCTCTAGGTTTTGCGCACGGCCATGATTCTTGCATGACTTGTGCATGCCCTCAGGTGTCCCAGGTAGACAGCATCTGCGAGTGTTTGCTGGAGCACGAGGAGCAGGTCCTGAAGGACTCGTCGCTGGACTCGGTCGAGTGGGCGGAGGTGGTGGTCAATGTGAACAGCATCCTCAAGGTACAGGAGTAGTGGCTCAAAGCCTGGGGGTGCACACACAGGGAAGGGTGTCCACGCTCCTGCTGTCCATTGCCAGTGATTTGTAAGGGTTTAGCCATTTGTTCATTCCAAAAAGTTAGAAAAATACCCATCACTTTATCATTCGGTTACCAGATCTTTTGAATGTTTGCTGTGTACATATTAATGTTTCTATAGAAACCTTTTATTTGGAGAGGGATGTTTATGTCATTGCAAATGTATTCATGTTAATAACTGTCTAAATAGTTCTTCTATTTTTTAATTACTCAAAAGTGAGCTACTTAGGTTACTGACTTAAAATGTTCCATTTATTTTTAGCCAGTGGACTTTATTTTAATGGTTTATTATAATGGTTTTCCTACTTTGATTACTCTAGTTTTCCAAAACTGAAGTTAGATTGTGAAGTAAAACAGATTTCAAAAGCAGAAAGAATCAAAAAAGTAATTGTACTGACCTTTCCTGAGTACTTTTTCTGTTGATAGACCTGGACGGTTCAGGTTATCTTCTGCGAGTCATCACTTACCGCCTGTGGTGACACACTGCCTTTTCCCAGGATATGCTGCAGGCTGCCGGTCATTATCGCCAGAACAGAAGCTCCTTGTACAGAAGAGAAGAACCACTGGGAAAGGAACCTGAGTATGTTCCGTGGACAGGTAACACACCGACTTACCAGCAGTTGTTCAAGATGTATTCCTGATGGCTCATCGTTTTTGGAAGCTGTGTTACTCCCTAGTGCACGTTTGGAAGAGAAACAAAAAGTAACTTAAGGGCCATCCTCAAAATGAGCAATTCTTGTCAAAATCACTTTATTCCCTTGGACGTTTTTGTGTCTTTTGCCATAATTTATTCATTTACCTGGTACTGATTACGCGTCTCCTAGAATCTGGCATAAATACTCACTCATAGAAGAAGGTCCTGGCCCTGGAGGTGTGGACTATATTTTATGTTCATTTAATACAAGAAAGTAAATGGAGTAGCATTAAAGGGACTTAGATGGAGAAGAGTCATGCAACCAGGCTTTGCTGAGGAAATCTCCGTAGAGAAGATGGGGTTCCAGCAGGGCCATGGAGGTACCACCTGAGTCTGTTTGGTTTATTTTTCCAGCAGGTGAAGTGATGTAATTTTTTAGCACTTGGCTTTGCCCTGTCCGTTATAGAGCCCTTACTTGCCATTTTGTTTTGTGTGATTTCACAGCAACGAGTGGCCCTTCTGGCATCCGAACAGCCATAGTACGCCAGCATGGGATTGTCCTGAAGATGGTTTATCCCCAGGCAGACAGCAACCTCCGGAAAACCGTGACAGAGCAGCTAGTAGCACTGATTGACTGCTTCCTAGAGGGCTATGTTTCTCAGCTTAATTCCCTGGACAGATCCAGTGATCAGGAGAGATATGACAGTCTAGATGTGGAGTACCTGCAAAAGAGATCAGATCTCTTATCTCCTCTTCGTAAGTGCATGCCGCGTGGTGAGGGCTGTGGGTCTTTGAGCTTGCAGAATAGATGAGGGGCAGATAGTTAATGCAGTGTGCTCAGTTTAGTAACGCTAATCCAGCCATTAACCAGGAACTTAAAGCAAATATGTACAGCTTTCTGTGTTCATTTATTCAGTCTTTTTTTCAGTATTTACCAGGTATAAGTAGCATAGATGATGCTAAAGATAATTAGAAAATGAATGAAGTACCAACACGTAGTGACTGCCCTTAGAGCTTAGCATCCCAGACCTTCACTTGAATAACTAGACTGCGGAGCAGAGCCCGAGGAAGGTGGTAGGCAGTACAGACACAGCAGTGTGGCCCGTCAGCAAGGCTCAGGCGAGGGAGCGTGGCTTGCTGGTATTGAAGGAAGGGGTCTCGTTTGGGGCCGTGATGAAGCAAGAGCTGAATTCGCATCTTTAGCGGGCAGATGTGGATTATGAAACGAAATGCTGGCAGCTGGAGAGGTTTCTGCTTCATTGATGAATCTTAGAGTAGATTATGAATAAAGGTAGAATTTCAAGTGATTTTTTTTTATGTATCTCAGGTTTTGCCCAAAGGATTTTTCCCACCTGTTCTCATTTCCACAGTCACACTGGGCCAGTATGCGTGGGCTGCTTCTCTTGCAGAGAAGTACTGTGACTTCGACATCCTGGTGCAGATGTGCGAGCAGACCGACAACCAGTCCCGACTGCAGCGCTACATGACGCAGTTTGCCGAGCAGGTGGTAGCACTGGCACGGGGGCAGCAGGAAGACTTGGCCGCTGCAAATCTGTAGTGGGGTTTTTGCAGCAGGATACAGTCTTTCTGTCATTAACTTAGTGTCTTCCCATCTAAGTTATATGTTACGTTTCTTTGTAAATTGGCAGACGATTCTTTATATATAATATATTCGTGAAAGATTCTTTGGCCTTTGAAAAATAAGTTAAAACTTTCATTTCTGTTCTTATATTTTTCATTTATAGTAACAGTACTTAGGTACATGCATATCTTTACCAAGTTTTTTTTTTTTTTTTTGTCGTTTTTGAGACCAGCTGCACCGCGCTCAGCCAGTGAGCGCTGTGAGCGCACCGGTCATCCCTATATAGGATCCGAACCCGGGGCGGGAGCGCTGCTGCACTCCCAGCGCCGCACTCTCCCGAGTGCGCCTCAGGCTCGGCCCTATCTTTACCAAGTTTTAAGAATCTGAACAGAAGATACTTGGGAGCATAGAGACCACTTTCAGAAAGACACACAGTCTTACTGTTGTCCTTGGGTTTGACATCGTACTTGCTATTTTTAAAACAAGTTCCAGTTATGACACCATCTATGTAAATTTAAGTTGCTCCTTAAAGTCAGTTTATTCAGTCAGGTGATTATTACATAAAAATTAGTTTTTTTCTTACTCTAAAAGGGATATGGTGTAAGATGCAGAAAACCCCTATAAACAAAAAGATGAAAATCAGTCATAATCCCGCCACGCTTTTTATCATTTGGTTTGTTCTTGTAGTCTTCCTGTTCTGTGTGGTGTAAACAGACATGTTCCATCAACTGCGCTTTCACTTAGTACACGCAAACATTTGTCCTTATCTGCATACTGTACAGCAGCATTTATTCTGTTTCACTTTTGTCTCCTTTTATCCTCCTTGGATACAGCAGCATTTTTAATGGCAGATCATTGACTGGGTGTGACTTACTTTACTTGACTGATGCCCAGGAGTTGGACATGGCTTGTCTAGTATCTCACAGTAGTGCCAAAGTAAATACTTTTACACTGATCATGGTTTTTTTACTTCTTTTTATGGATTCTACTTCTCTGTTGACATTTTCCATTCATTTTTGCATTTTTTTCTTTTATTTTCTTTAAGATATTTAATAGTTATTTTGAAATTCTTTTGTGCTAACTCTAAATAATGTGCTCATTCTTGAGTCTGCTTCTGTTTGCTTTTTATGTTGCTTTAGTTATATTTTTCTGCTTATGTCTGGTAATTTTTTAATTGTATGTTGGACATTGTATTTAAAAGAACTGTAATGATGAAAATCAGTGTTCTTTTTCCCCTGGGAGGGTTTTCTCCTTTCTCTTTTAGGTGGTTAGTTGAGAGGCAGATCACTCAATCCATCAGGACTATAGACGTAGGCCTGAGCCTGGTCTCAGCTTTTATTACATTCATTTCACTCTTGCTTCACAAGTCTTTGGGGGAGACACCTCTGTTCCTTACAGGATCCCCACTTTAGTGGAAATATCTCTTGAACACGGTGACACTGTAGGACATTTAATTTTCCTCTCCGGTCTGGCCTCCACAGCACCCCAGTGCTCAGCAGATGTCCTGTGGGGAAAATTGGCTGGGCATTTGGGCCACTAGATTCCGATTTGTTCTGCCAGCCCACACGGCCATCTGGCACAGCACTGCACCCTGATAATCTCTGGATCTTTCTGAGATGATGGAGATGTTGTTTGTATGCACTCTCCACAACGGGAGCCACTGGCCACACATGGCTGCTGAGCACTTGAAATGTGGCTAGTGTGCCTGAGGTGTACTGACAATCTTACATTTTAATTAACTTAAGTTTAGGCAGCTACACGTGGCCAGTAGCTACCATATTGGTCAACACACATCTAGATTCTGCTGTTGACTGTGTTGGTAATCTTCAGCAAGATACCTCTTCTGAATCTAAATTTACTCAGTTATCAAATGAGATGATTAGATTAGATGATCTTACACATAGGAAATTATTGTTCAAAACAAGATTTCTATTTTGGAAGCCTTTGGAAGAAATTTAGTCCTCCTTTATTCATGTGTATTTTTTAAAACTGCACTAGCAAACATTAATGGGTTCTTGACTCTGTTGTTTGTAGAACTTTTCAGACTTTCTTTTCCGTTGGTATCTGGAGAAAGGAAAGCGAGGGAAGCTGTTGTCTCAACCCGTTTCTCAGCATGGACCGCTAGCAGACTTCCTGCAAGCTCACGGTCATCTCAGCTGGCTACATGAAATTAATAGCCAAGAGTTAGAAAAGGTGAGAAGAATTCAGTTATATGGAGCAGACTTATGCAATTTATGTAGGTAGTTAATAGTACTTATAGCCATATATCTGGTTAAGGGGTTAATATCCAAAGTATATGAGGAACTTAATAGCAAGAAAACTAATATCCCAATTAAAAAATGGGCAAAGGACCTGAATAGACATTTCTCAAAAGAAGACACACAGGTGGCCAACAGGCACATGAAAAAATTCTCAGCCTCACTTACTCATGAGGGATGTGCAGACCAAACCACAGTGAATTGTCACGTGAGAAAAGAGAACCCCAGTGCCTTGGTGAAAATGTAAATCAGTACAGCTATTACGGAAAACTGTATGAAGTTTCCTCAAAAACTTGAACACAGAACTGCCCTATGTTCCAACAATCCCACTTCCGGGTGTACATCCAAAGGATTTGATATTGCATGTCGAAGGGGCACCTACATTTCTGTGTTCACTGTTCACAGTAGCCAAGTTTTGGAATCAACCTGAGTGTCCATCAGCAGATGAGTGGATACAGAAAATGTGGTTTGTATGTACACAATAGAACACTGTTCAGCCTTTTAAAGAAGGAGATTCTGTCATTTGCACAGCGTGGATTCATCTGGAGGACATTATGTTAAGTGAAATAAGCCAGGCCCAGAAAGATAAATACCACGTGATCTCACTCATATGTGGAATCTAAAACAATCAAGCTCATAAAAGCCGGGAGTAGAATGGTGGTCACCAGAGGCCGGGGGCATGGGCAAGTGTTGGTCAAAGGGTATGATGTTTCCTTTAGACAGGTGGAAAAAGTTTCTTGAGATATACTGCACAGTGTGGTGACTGTAGTTAATAGTAGTGTATTATATATTTCAAAATTCTGAGAGTAAATTTCAAATGTTCTCACCACAAAAAAATAATAATGTGAAGTGGTGGATATATTTATTATCTTGATTTAATCATTCCAGATGTATGCATATGTCATGACATCAATTGTAATTTACAACAAAAAATTTGAAAAAAAAATTAAAAACACTACTTACAGATTATTTAAAATGTGTACTTCCTAACTCTCACATTGTTTGTGTGAAGCATTCTTCATTTATGATGGTGTTGCCATTACTTCTAATATCAATAAAAACTGTAGTCCCTTGTGATTTGGCTACCACTATAATGAAATAAAACACAAAAAATTTATTAACATGTATATAATGGTCATTGGCTTTTTTCGTAATGAGAATATTCTTGTAATGTAAACATTCAAATTATAGGTTAAAAAAGCACACAGATTAATTTTGAGGTTTGTTCTCAACAGGATGTTCAAGAGGATATGAAATTGGTATAGAGCAGATGTTTTGTGTATGTCTCTTCTCAATGACTTGTGTGGATGTTTGATATTTTATTGTGTAATTACTCTCAGTGTAATGGCACTGATAAGTTTTTAAGTTTGCTAATTTCAACTTATCTTTTTTCTTTTTTTTTAAAAGATGACCGGTAAGGGGATCTCAACCCTTGGCTTGGTGTTGTCAGCACTACGCTCAGCCAGTGAGCAAACCGGCCATCCCTATATAGGATCCGAACCCGTGGCCTTGGTGTTATCAGCACCACACTCTACCAAGTGAGCCACGGGCCGGCCTATTACTGATATAGCTTAGGAGAAAAAACAAGTTTGGGATGTGCTTAACCTTTATTTCCACTTGAATTGGTACCCTGGATCTTATGGTTTTTATATTTTGCTTATTGTAGGCCCATGCAACACTTCTGGGTTTGGCAAACGCAGAAACTCGTTACTTTTCAAAGAAGAAAACCCTTCTTGGCTTGAGTAAATTAGCTGCATTAGCTTCAGACTTTTCGGAGGATCTACTACAAGAGAAAATTGAAGGTGAAAAAACTTGAACAAGAAGACAGACGATGGGTTATACTGTCACTGAACTCTAGCGATGTGTTCCTGTCCTCATTTAGTAGGATCCGTTAGAAGCAGAACCCATCTCTACTTCTGGGGAGTGTTTCTGTTCAGTTTTCATATGTAATTACTCTGTTATATGCTTGGGGTTCTTTTTCCTTTTTTTAGAGAAAAGTAACTTGTATTTTAAATTCTCTTAGAGAGTTCAATGATCTTGAATGGAGAACTCTGATTTTGCACCCTTAGTGATGTCTGTCTACTCTAAGAGCAGAAAGGACTGCAGTGAAATCTGACTGAGCACTGTGGGCTGCTGTAGGTAGTGGTGGTGGTGCAGAAATGCTGAAACTATTTTGTGCGTGTCGTAGATAGAGAAGATGATTAGATGTGCTATTGTTTTTGATAACCAAGGGCAGAGATGCAGACACAGAAGGAAAAGCCCTGTGTTGTTGTATCTGAACTGGAGATGTCAGGCGGAGTCTAAAGATATTTCTGGCTCTTTCCACTGAGAGGGCCTAATAGCAATGACATCCCAGTAGCTGGAGCACAGCTAGGTCCATATTTTGGTTTCTAACTATTGTTTTCCAGTAAAAGGAAACCAGGGCTTATGGAAGATACAATCTTGGACAGTTGTTGGGCTGGAAAGCAAAGTTAATGGAGAGATGTCAGAAGAACACAGGAACCTGGAAGAGCTCCCACTGGCCAAGTTTGTGATAAATTGAACATCAGAAAGAGTGGTAGTAAAGAATTATATTTCAGTTTATGAGAGAAACAGCCATGAATCCACAGTGATACCCAAAAGGGGAGAGAGGCCAGTGAAATGCTTCTTTACAAAAGAATGCCCACTGATAAATGTGGGAGGAATGATAGAGTTACCATTTTGTAACCATAGTGAATAATTGATCATCAAAGGATGCTAAAACCATGGAGTTTAGGGGTAAGGGAAATGGGACATTCACATTTTCAGATATCAGGACACAGAAATAACAGACACTATTACCAACAACTTGACAAGCCCACTCCGCATATGTCCTAGTGTGTTGTCACGTGGCAGTGTGTACCACCACCTCTGCTGTGTTCTTCCTGGAGATGTTCAGCCTGTATTTAATCTGCCATAAACAGAGAGATATATCCTGATGGTGGGACATTTTATAATACAGTGAACTTGGTATCTTCAAAATTTTAGCAACACGAGAGACAAAAGAAAGACAGGAGGGTGTTTTAGATAAAGAGACCCAAGAGCCACAACTCATGACAACCAAATGCAATCTCAGGTGTAGCAAGCCTTTTTTTTTTTTTTTTTTTTTTTTTTTTTTTTTAAAAATGACTGGTAAGGGGATCTTAACCCTTGACTTGGTGTTGTCAGCACCACGCTCTTCCAAGTGAGCAAACCGGCCATCCCTATATAGGATCTGAACCCATGGCCTTGGTGTTATCAGCACCGCACTCTCCCAAGTGAGCCACGGGCCGGCCCTCAAATGTGAGATTCTTGATTGGATCCTGGATCACACCCCAAATACCCAGAACAACTATGATGAATATTTTGGGGACAACTGGGAAAATGTGAACATACTTAATATTAGATGATATTACTATATTGACATTAAATTCCTTAGGCCTGATAATAGCTTCATGGTTGAATGTCCTTGTTCTTAGGAGATACAGGCTGAAGTTTTTAGAATTGAAATAGCACACTACTGCAACTTTCACGTGATAGGAAAAGCATTCTTTAAGGGAGAGATTAAGCAAGGGAGCAAAATGTGAGTGGCAGGTGACTCTAGATGGAGGGTGTGCCGTGCACACTGTATTCTTCAAAATTTTCTGTAGGTTAGGAATTTTCCAAAATAAAAATTGGAGGGGGAGTCTCAGCTCTTTGGTTGGGGTGAAGTATTTGCGTATGTGGATATCTGGGTGCACGGCTCGGCCACAGAGTCCAGCCTCTGGGTCTGAGTTCAGATTACTCTGGTGCCGCTTGTTTCCTTGAGGAGACGGCACATTGGAGGAGTCTGGACAGACACCTGGTTTCACATATCTTCTCCAGAACTTACTAGCATTATGACCTTGGGTGGTGGACTTACCCTCTGAGCCTCAGTGTCTTCATCTTTAAAACGGGTGTTTGAAGGACTGAGGACATCGTGTGTTCCTCGAGAAAAACGGCTTACACGTATTAGCCACTCAATAAATCGTAGGTGGTAGCATTTAACTTTTATTACTAAAATTATTTTGTATTGTTTGGGAGAATCTTCCTTTCAGTCTTTTTATTTTTGCACTAGTAGTGCCCGTCGTTCTGGAGAAGTGTGTTTATATTCTGCAGGGCTAGCTGGAAGTCTGAGAGGGGAAGCCAGAGGCAGGTCATATTAGCCAGAATATTTTGATGCAGGATGTTACTTCTTGGTTTCCCCTTAGATGTCACTGGAACTGTGGTCAACACTTTGCATGTGAACTCTTCTTAGCTTTTGCTGTCTTAACACAATGGGAATATCTTCAGCTCTCAGTGATTTCCTAGACTGTTATCACAGTGTATGTAATCACAGCGGTTAGGTGTTTTAAAGATTACTTTTCTGGATATGTAAATAATTCCTTATGGAAATTTTGTAAATTATAGGAAAAAACACAACAACAAAAGTTGCTTATAATCCCACCTCCCCAGAGACAACTACCATTACTGTTTTGTGTTTATCCTCCCAGTCTGTTTTTCTAGGTATGGAAATGCAAAAAATGTACTAATTTTTACAGAACTGAGACCATGTGCAGTGCTGCCGGCATCTGGATGAGAGTATGTGTGCCGTGGTTGCTTGTTTTGCTGTGTTTGAGGCTGCACAGCAGTTCTCACCATTTGCCTGCACCCCAGCACACTCTTCGTGGGCAGGGCCAGGTCAGAGGCTTGGCTGGGGAGCTTAGGGCAAGCCGAAGCTCCTATCTCCTCATCCTGTGGAGAGAGCCCTTGCTAGTTGGATTTGGTGGCATTTAAATCATGTCCATTTACAAATGAAATCATGCTATAAACTCTGATGGGAAGAAGTTTACTTAGTTACCATAGCAGAGGCCTGAGAGATCTCACATTCAGGGGACTTACAGCTCATGAAATAGCCATCCGCTGTACAACTTCCTCAAGTAGTTCTCCCCCCCTCCTATTCCGGGTCGCTTTGATAATTCATATGACTTGGATCAAACCATGCATACATTGCTAACATAGTCAGCAATCAAGAGTAAGTAGAATTAAAACATTTTAAGGCCATTGAATAGTGATGGGATTACTTTCAGAGCTTTTATTTTTCTTTTTAAGTTCAGATTTGTTTTATGACTGCGCAGCAGTGAAGTTACATCATTCTCTCTCTCGCTTGCTCTCCTCTTGAATACTAGAGATGGCTGAGCAGGAGCGTTTTCTGCTACACCAGGAGACCCTACCTGAACAGCTGCTGGCAGAGAAGCAGCTCAGTCTCAGCGCGATGCCAGCGCTGACGGCGCCACAGCTCATCAGTGTATGTGCACTTCAAACCCCCCACCCTTCAACTCAGAACGCCCTCAGGGTGTGTGGGCCATGTGGCATAGTTCCTAAGAGGAGTTACCCTTCTGCTGCTTACGTTCTTCAAAACTTTCTCCTAGAAGAGTTGTTGGGAGCTGCTTGGGAGCAGGTCACAAATGAGGAGAAAGCAGTGACTAGCCTCTGCCTCCCCACACACCTCCACCTGTTCCTGAAGGTGCTAGTCCAGGTGGCCAGGAGAATTACTTATAGTTCGCTTTTCTGCTGTAGGACAAATGTGTACCATGAGATAACTTTATTTCTCCAGAACATTACTTCTCAGGCTCTCCTGTAAGAACGATTTAAAGAACTGACTTTCATGGCCTGTGAGTGCTCACTCCCCCTTTCCTGAGGGTGGAGCTGGAGTGTGTCTGCAGCCCAGGTGGCCTTGGCGTATGTTGTACACTTGTGCATTCACCCTGTGGCCCAGACAACGTTGCCAGCGCAGCATGATGTTGCAGGGCCACCTCGAATTCACTCTAACTATATTAAAAAGAAGGCAGACAATTAAAAACCTTTACTGTTTTAGCCATTATTAGGGACAGATTTCCTGGAACTGAGCTTATGTCATCCTCTCCTGTTAAAGCATATTGAATTTAGAAATTTAAGGTGCTGCCAATTGTAACTCACAATTATGTATCATGAAGAGGGAAAAAAGCAGTACCAGCATTACTCGGTGCTCCATCGATTTCCGTACCACATTCCAGTTTCAGAGATTGTGGAGAAAAAAAGGATGTTCAGAAACAATGAGATAAAGTATTGCTTCTTTAACTGTTGTAAGACAGTGAAAACAAGCCGATAGCTTTTTTGAAATGGCTTGAGTAATGTCCTTGCTGTTAAAGAACGATGTATGATCTTTAAAAATGAAATTTGTTATAATATAAATGGTTGGTGGAAAAGGGAGGCAGGAAAAATTCAAATTGATATTTTCCATAAGGTTCATTTGATGATAAAATCACAGGAAATTTGAGAAATCCAGAAGTGTGTGTCAGATAAGTTCTGACGAGGGTGATCGCTGATGACACGCTGGCATATGTAAACTAGACCAACTGCGTGCTTTATTGGAGGTCTCAATTTTTAAAACCATTTCAAAGGGCAGTATTTGAAAAGCATTATAACCAGCTTTAAAAGTACAAAGGAGCAATTTATTTCAACGGTTATGCTTAAAAGAATACTGAAATGTACATACTATCTTCTTGATCCTAAGAATATAGATTTACTGACATTTCAAAAGCGTATATACCCCGTTATACATATTAGTGATTTAAGATATGCATTTTTAAAAAGACAGTTTATTATGAGGAGTATAGTTTCCAAATATTTACTATGAAAATATTTACAATTTACTTAAAAGACATAGTGACTTTTCTGCATAAATTTCTCTAGTGAAAGGGTATTTTAAAAAGATGGCAAGATTTGTATTACCTTTTAATTTTGTTTTTCCGTGAACTTTTTGCAGTACCTTCATATTAATTATAATTGTATGTATGATTACTTAAAATAATCTACTTATTTTAACTTGCCATAGCTATATATCTGTGAAGAAAATAGAAGAGCTAATGAATACGATTTCAAGAAAGCTCTGGACTTGCTGGAATACATTGATGAGGTGAGAGAAATCTCTCGAGGTTAATTCAGGCGACCAGATGCACATGAAAATAGGGGAGAAAATAATCTCTTTGAGTCGACCATGAAAATGTATTGACTGAAAAAGACTATCTCTGGCTCGGCTGCCCTAACTCATAGAACACGTGCAGCCCTTTAGAAAAGCTGCCAAGAGAGTCTACTTCCTGATAATTCTCTTACATTCCCAGGTGTCTTCCTCTGTGCACAAATAAAAATGCTGCTTTTCAAAGTCCTGAGGTGTTTTTCCTCTTCCATTTATAAAGTGACTAGTTTTTCAATCTGACATGTTACTTTGTCAGTTTATTCTTCATAGTGTGCACCCTAAGAGAAGCTGTTTCTCAGCTTTCAGAGGTTGTAGAGAACATTCTGTGGCATTAAGTAGCTGCTCTGTTAGCTGGCCGTGCAATCGAGAGTAGTTTGGTGGATTTTAAAAACACAGTATGTTGACATGTCTGTTACCTTGCTTAAAAATCTTAACCCTCTCAAGGTTCCTGATAAAAATGAGATGGTCACAGACCAACCTGAAACTAATTCACACAGATACCTAAGTAGTACTAACATCTTGAGAGGGAAATTTTAAAAAATCAATTAAAGTAAAGCAATAGTATTTATGGAGGGTTAGAGTTGACGTAACTAAAATTTAAGCATGTGTTTCTTTTTAAAGTCAGGAATTAATCAGGATTTTTTGTTTTGCTGTGAAGGAGGAAGATATAAATATAAATGACCTAAAACTGGAGATCCTGTGCAAAGCTCTGCAGAGAGATAAGTAAGTCCTCTCGGCCTGAGTGTAAGATACAGCTCTGCAAAGGTCTCTTTGGAAGATCGCGATGTCATATGTCAAAAGGTTCTATACCCTTCTAATTGTAACATTTTTTTTTCCTTTTTGTGACCAGTAAGGGGATCGCAACCCTTGGCTTGGTGTTGCCCGCACCGCACTCAGCCAGTGAGCACACCGGCCATTCCTATATAGGATCCGAACCTGCGGCACTTCGCCGTTGGGCTCCCAGCGCCGCACTCTCCCGAGTGAGCCACAGGGTCGGCCCTAATTGTAACTTATTAACGTACGGAAATGTTAATGGTTGCATTAGTAATCTTAATTTTTTAATTTAGTAGTTAAGGAATAGCCTAAAGACTTGGGACCACTGCTATAAGAAATCACTGCTTTGATTTTAAAATGTAGATTGTCAGTTTGCACAGAGACGCATGTGTTCCTTATTTTCACAGACATTGGGCCAGTTGTGCCAAATAAGACTGAAGTGCTACTGTCTCACCATCCTCTCCTTTCTGCAGAAGAGGATTTCCATCTGTGTAAATGGTGCTGTTAAGATTCAGTGGCAAAGGAAGACTGAGGATGTCAGTTGTAGGGATGGATTCTTCCAGGAAGGGAATTTCAGAGAGAGCAGGACTTGAGTGCCAAAGCCGTTTCCACTGACGGCTTTCCTTTCCCTTCAGTGCTTGGAATCCCAATAGAGCTGTTTTCCTGAAGAGGGTCTCCCTTCCCTTGATCACTTCCAAATCCTGAAATTGCTGTTGGATTTGGTCTCGGAGGTCCGGAAGCATGTAGCTCTGTGCCTACTTGATTCCTTGATGCTATTCCAGTCATACAAAAAGACGCTGTCGTTTTGACTGGAATTACTTGTCCTGGCTTCTTACTTAAAAAATTTTAAGGCATCATGTGGTGTAGATACATCTGTTGATTACTTCAAAGCAGTAACTTTGTGTGTTTATATTTCATTAGTCCCAATTAGATAAAGAAAGCTTCTTTCCTTTATACCACACACTGGTTGCCATTTTACTGTTTTGAGAAGCAGAATATGCTGTGGCATATTGTGACTATTCCCTGCGCTCTGGAAGACCACACATCGGGGTCCCTGCTGGATCTGTTACTTATGGAATTTTCTTCAGAAAGGTGTCTCACTGCGAGGTTTCTGAAATCAAATACGTGGTGGTCGTGCTGGGTGAATAGCCACCTGCATGTGGTATCTTCTGTCTGGCCCCTTTATGTAAAGGACTTGAAACACAAAATTCAGGTTCTCCACCCCACAGCCAGCAAAACAAAACCGCCACAGCACACAGAAGTCACTTATTTCAGCCGTGTGGATGACTTAATTTTCCCCTCATACTGATTTTGTTTTCTAGCTGGTCCAGTTCAGGTGGTAAAGATGATCCAATTGAAGTATCTAAAGACAGCATATTTGTGAAAATCTTACAGAAACTTGTAAAAGATGGTAAGTGGTTTGTTACTATTAGAAATTACATCACCACCCCTCAGTTTAAGAAATCTTAGAATGATGGGGATTTGCCAAAATGTCAAATGACAGGGAGGTTTAAAGTTAAACACTAGTATACTCTAAGTTAGAGAGCTTTGCACACACAGAAAAAAGGAAGGGCTTTTCCCACCATCTGCACTTGGGGGAGCATGTACGTATCAGGGTGAAATCTCCTGGTGTCCCTGGCACAGTCACCGTGCTGGTCCAGTATAGACAAGGAACTCCAGTCAGGCGCGCTGGGCACAGGCGTTGGTTGTGACACTGAAAATCTGCATTGTAGAAGTAATTGTTTCCTTTAATTTTTCAACTAACTCTTTTGTGAAGATTGAAAATTTGAAATGAGATATAAACTTTTTTGGTATATTCCCTACTAAACTGACCATACCATGCAAATTACAAAATATTTTTAATTTTAAATCCATTTTAGACATTAACGCTCTAAAATTCAGTTTAGACACAAAGTAAAAAGAAACAAGAAGGGGTTGTGTCTTACATGCATCTTTTGTATTTAATGTGGTGAGCAGACTTCCATTTGCTGATAAAGACAGATAGATAAAGAGACTTTTATGCGTGAAATGCTTGTTGAGGGAAAGGTGAATTTAAGACTTCGATCTCCTTCCGTACTGCTGGGAGCTTAAAATATGGAGACGTTAGTGCTGAGAAAATTTGCACATTTTGCACGTAAAAAGAAATGTGACTAGCTTGTTTCAGAATTACTAGATCAAAACGCATGATGCTAAAATCCAGGCAATGTGCAAAGTTGGCTGAACTAGAGTTTACTGACCTTTTCAAATATAACGATACTCTTTTTAACGTGAATTGGAAAAAATACACAATAACTAAAAGCTGTTGCAAATTCAGCAGTTCTTCTGAATGAAAGTGAACTTTATTCATCTTGTCAACATTTACATACATTTGAGCATTTTCTTACATATATCTGCAAGATACGTTATTGAATGTACAAAGAACATGCCCAGCTGAGTGCTGGGCATGCAGTAGTTGCTCAGTAAACATGTGTCCTCAGTAAACATGCAGTACTTGCTCAGTAAACATGTGAGTATGTAGAACTGTTTGCAGATCCACAGCCCCAGCTCCTCTGTACCAGGTTCCACCCCCACCCCTCCGCCCCGTGTGATGCTTCTCCCTGCCAGAGGCACTGGCTCTTCCAAGGGAGGGAGGGGCCCCCGAGAAGCCCTTGGACTCACCACACCAGCTAGTGTTCTGGGGTCAAGGGGAGCGGCTCTCAGCACTTGTGTTCCAGAAGCTGTCATTGCTGAGCCTGTCCTGGCGCTGCTTTTCAGATTTGTGGTCTCCTTTTGTAGCTGATCGAATGTAAATGCAGTTCTGTAACTAATTACTCGGAACTTGCTGAGAAATGGCCTAGCCTTTGATTTATGACAAAGGGACACGATCACCCCACATTGACAAGGGTACTCGATGCGCTTTTGTTTTCAAAGGTAAACAACAAACAGGAAGGTTAATTAAACCTTTTTATTGTCAAAAAAAATTAAAGATAAAATAAATGGCGGGATATAGCAAAAGGAAATATATTTTGCTTGAAAGTACTTGAAATTCAGAAAGCAGAAATATAACTGTAAGGCCTTCTCTTTTCTTTGTTTTTTTTTTTTTTAATTTAAAAAATGTTTTTTTATTTTAACTTCTCAGTATACATTGTAGTTGATTTTTGTGTCCCTTTACCCATTCCTCTTTCCCCTCTTCTTCTCCTCCCCCATCTACATCATATCTGTTCACTTGTCTTAACACGTTCAAATTGTTGTGATTGTTCTGTCTTCTTCCCCCCCATACCATTTATTTGTTTGTATACTTATTTATTTACTTATTTTTAGCTCCCCCAAATAAGTGAAAACATGGTATTTCTCTTTCTGTGCCTGACTTATTTCACTTAATGTAATTTTCTCTGGGTCCATCCATGTTGTTGCAAATGGCAGTATTTCATTCTTTTTTATAGCAGAGTAGTATTCCATTGTGTAGATATACCACAGTTTCCCTATCCACTCATCTGATGATGGACATTTGGGCTGGTTCTAACTCTTGGCTATTGTAAATAGTGCTGCAATAGTATTTCATTCAAGGTCCATCCATGTTGTTGCAAATGGCAGTATTTCATTCGTTTTTATAGCTGAGTAGTATTCCATTGTGTAGATATACCACAGTTTCCCTATCCACTCATCTGATGATGGACATTTGGGCTGGTTCTAACTCTTGGCTATTGTAAATAGTGCTGCAATAAACACTGGAGTACAAGTTATCCCTTCAGCATGATGATTTCCATTCCTCTGGGTATATTCCCAGCAGTGGGATAGCTGGGTCATATGGTAGATCTATCTGCAATTGTTTGAGGAACCTCCATACCATTTTCCACTAAGGCCACACCATTTTGCAGTCCCACCAACAATGTATGAGAGTTCCTTTTTCTCCACAACCTCGCCAGCATTTATCGTTCAGAGTCTTTTGGATTTTAGCCATCCTAACTGGGGTGAGATGGTATCTCAGTGTCGTTTTGATTTGCATTTCCCAATGCTGAGTGATGTTGAGGATTTTTTCATGTGTCTGTTGGACATTCGTATATCTTCCTTTGAGAAATGACTATTCAGCTCCTTTGCCCATTTTTTAATTGGGTTATTTGGTTTTTTGCTGTAAAGTTGTTTAAGGTCCTTGAATATTCTGGGTATTAATCCTTTACCAGATGTATATTTTGCAAATATTTTCTCCAACTCTGTTGGTTGTCTTTTCAGTCTGTTGATTGTTTCTTTTGCAGTGCAGAAGCTTTTTAGTTTGATGTAATCCCATTTGTTTATTTTTCCTTTAGTTGCCTGTGCTTTTGGGGTCATATTCATGAAGTCTATACTCACTCCTACTTCCTGAAGTGTTTCCCCTATGTTTTCTTTAAGGAGTTTTATTGTTTCAGGGTGCATATTTAATTCTTTAACCCATTTTGAGTTGATTTTTGGTATATGGTGAGAGGTACAGGTCTAGTTTCATTCTTCTATATATGAATATCCAGTTTTCCCAGAACCATTTGCTGAAAAGGCAGTTTCTTCCCAGTGTGTAGACTTTTGGTGCCTTTATCAAATATCAGATGGCTGTAGGTATATGGGTTGATATCTGGGTTCTCTATTCCATTGATCTGTGTGTCTGTTTTTATGCCACTACTATGCTGTTTTGGTTATATAGCTTTGTAATATAGTTTAAAGTCAGGTACTGTTTTTTGGGTTTTTTTTTTCCTTTTTGTCTTTTTTTGTGACCAGTAACGGGATTGCAACCCTAGGTGTCGCGCCCGTACTGCGACCGGCAACGGGATCGCAACCCTCGGTGTCGCGCCCGCACTGCGCTCAACCAGTGAGCGGACCGGTCTCTATATGGGATCCGAACCCTCGGCGGGAGCGCCACCGCACTCCCAAGCACCTCACTCTACCGAGTGCGCCACCGGGCCGGCCCTAAAGTCAGGTACTGTTATGCCTCCAGCTTTTTCTTTTTTTCCTTAGGATTGCTTTGGCTACGTGTGGTTTTTTGTTATTCTACATAAATGTCCGGATAGTTTTTTCTATTTCTTTGAAAAATGTCATTAGAATTTTGATGGGGATTGCATTGAATCTGTAGATCACTTTGGGTAATATGGACATTTTCACAATGTTAATTCTTCTGATCCAAGAGCATGCGATATCTTTCCACCTTGTGTCCTCTTTAATTTCTCTCAACAGTGGTTCGTACTTCTCTTTGTAGAGATTTTTCACATCCTTGGTTAACTTTATTCCTATGTATTTTGGTTTTTTGGTGACTATCGTAAATGGGCTAGCTTTCTTGATTTCTTTTTCTGCATGTTCACTGTTGGAGTATGGAAATGCTACTGACTTTTGTGTGCTGATTTTGTATCCTGCAACTTTGCTGAAATCATTTATCAACTCTTTAAGAGTTTTTTTGTAGAGGCTTTAGGCTGTTCAGTATGTAGCATCATATCGTCCGCAAACAGAGACAGTTTGACTTCATCTTTTCCAATCTGGATGCCCTTTATTTCCTTCTCTTCTCTGATTGCTCTGGCTAGTACTTCCAACACTATGTTGAGTAGGAGTGGGGAGAGTGGGCATCCTTGTCTAGTTCCTGATCTTAAGGAACATCTTGTTGAGGATGATATTGGCAGTGGGCTTATCATATATGGCTTTAATTGTGTTGAGATACTTTCCCATCTATACCTGACTTGTAGAGAGTCTTTATCATGAACGAGTGTTGAGTTTTGTCAGATGCTTTTTCAGCATCTGTAGAGATGATCGTATGGTTTTGTCTTTGCTTTTATTGATGTGGTATATCATAGTTATTGATTTGCATATGTTGAACCAACCTTGTATCCCTGGGATGAATCCCACTTGATCATGGTGGATAATTTGTGTGTGTGTTGCTGTATTCTGTTAGCTGGTATTTTATTGAGGATTTTTGCATCTATATTCATCAGGGATATTGGCCTGTAGTTTTCTATTTTTGATGTCTCTTTGTCTGGTTTTGGTATCAGGGTGATGTTTGCTTCATAGAATGAGTTTGGGTGAATGGCCTCTGTTTCAGTCTTTTGGAATAGTTTGTAGAGAATTGGTATCATTTCCTCTTTGAAGGTTTGGTAGAACTCTGCAGTGAACTCATCCGGTCCTGGGCTTTTCTTTGTTGGGAGCCTTCTGATAACAGCTTCAATCTCTTTTATTGTTATTGGTCTGTTCAGATTTTCTGTATCTTTTTGGCTCAGTTTTGGTAGTTTGTATGTGTCCAGAAATTTATCCGTTTCCTACAGATTTTCAAATTTGTTGGCATATAGTTGTTTATAGTAGTCTCTAATGATTCCTTGTATTTCTGAGGTATCAGTTGTAATACCACCTTTTTCATTTCTAATTTTTGTTTTTTGGATCTTCTCTCTTTTTTTCTTAGTTAGCCTTGCTAAAGGTTTTTCCATTTTATTTATCTTTTCAAAAAATCAACTTTTTGGGGCCGGCCTGGTGGCGCACTGGATAGTGCGCCGCTTGGGAAGCACGGCGGTGCTCCCGTCCGAGGGTTCAGATCCCACATACAGACCGGTTCCCTCTCACTGGCTGAGCAAGGTGCGGGAGCAACACCGAGGCTTGCGATCCCGTTGCCGGTCCCCGGTCCGGTACGGGGGCAACACTGAGGGTTGTGATCCGTTGCCGGACACGGAAAAAAGACAAAAGACAAAAAAAAAAAAAAAAAATCAACTTTTTGTTTCATTGATCTTTTTTATTATTTTTCAGGTTTCTATTCTTTTAGTTCTGCCCTGATCTCACTTATTTCTTTCTGTCTACTAACTTTGGGTTTGGATTGTTCTTGTTTTACTAGATCTTTAAGGTGAAGTGTTAGGTTATTTGCCATCTTGCCATTCTTCTGAAGTAAGCATTTAATGCTAGATAAATTTCCCCCTTTGTACTGTATCCCGCAGGTTTTGGTATGATGTATCATTATGTTCATTAGTTTCAAGAAATTTTTTGATTTCCTGTTTAATTTCTTCTTAGACCCAAATGTCATTAAGTAGAATGTTGTTTAATTTCCATGTATTTGTATAGTTTCCAGAGTTTCGTTTCTTATTGATTTCTAATTTTAATCCATTGTGGTCTGAAAAAATACATGGGATAACTCCAATTTTTTTGAATTTGTTGAGGCTTGCTTTGTGACCTAACATGCGGTCTCTTGTGGAGAATGTTCCATGTGCTGATGAGAAGAATGAATATTCTGAGTTGTTGGATGGAATGTTCTGTAGATATCTGCCAAGTCCAATTGGTCTAGTATGTTGTTTAGATCTTGTGTTTCTCTATTGATTTTTTTGCCTAGATGATCTGTCCTATGTTGAGAGTAGGGTGTAAAGGTCCCCCACTGTTATGGTGTTAGTGTCTGTCTCATTCTTTACATCTAACAGTGTTTGCTTTATAAATCTGGCTGCTCTGACATTAGGTGCATATATATTTATGATTGTTATGTCTTCTTGATGGATAGATCCTTTTATCATTTATAGTGGCCTTCTTTATCTCTTTTTATGGCTTTTGGTTTAAAGTCTATTTTATCTGATATAAGAATAGCTACTCCAGCTCGTTTTTCTTTTCTGTTTGCATGGTAAATCTTTTTCCATCCTTTCAGTCTTAGTCTATGTGAGTCTTTATGGGTGAGGTGGGTCTCTTGAAGGCAGCATATAGTTGGGTCCTCCTTTTTAATCCAGTCAGTCTGTGTCTTTTGAGTGGGGAATTTAATCCCTTGACATTTAGAGTTATTATTGAAAGGTGTTGATTTACTCCTAGCATGTTATTGATTTTTGTTTACATTTCTTAAGTGTCTTTTGTTCCTTTCTTTCTGATTTTCTGTTTGTCTTCTGTATTTGTTGATTTCTTAAGTGTCTTTTGTTCCTTTCTTTCTGATTTTCTGTTTGTCTTCTGTATTTGTTGATTTCTTAAGTGTCTTTTGTTCCTTTCTTTCTGATTTTCTGTTTGTCTTCTGTATTTGTAGGTTTCTTGGGGTGGTAGATAAACTATTTTTTTTCTTTATTGTTAGCATTTTTGTTTTACTAGTAGGTTTTTTTCTTTCTTGAGTATTCATGGCAGTGATGGTTGTTTTTCAGGTATCAAACCCAGTACTTCCTTGAGAATTTTTGGTCAAGGCTGGTCTTGTGGTGGTGAACTCCTGCAGTTTTTGTTTGTCTCAGCAATATACTATTTGTCCTTCATTTCAGGATAGCCTTGCTGGGTAAAGTATTCTTGGCTGGCAATTTTTGTCCTTTAGTATTTTGAGTATATCATACCATTCTTTTCTGGCTTTTAGGGTTTGTGATGAAAAGTCTGATGTTAGTCTGATTGGGGCTCCCTTGTAGGTGACTTGCTGCTTCTCTCTTGCAGTTTTAAAGATTCTCTCTTTCGGGCCAGCCCGGTGGCGCACTGCTACAGTGCACCGTTTGGGAGCGTGGCGGCGCTCCCGCTGAGGGTTCGGATCCCACATACAGACCGGTTCCCGCTCACTGGCTGAGCCAGGTGCGGGAGCAACACCAAGGATTGCGATCCCGTTGCCGGTCCCGGTCTGGTACGGGCGTGACACTGAGGGTTGCGATCTGTTGCTGGACACGAAAAAAGACAAAAAGGAAAAAAAAAAAAAAGATTCTCTCTTTGTCTTTGAGTTTTGCCAGTTTGACTATAACATGTCTTGGAGAGGATCTTTTTGGATTGAATATGTTTGGGGATCTTTAGGTCTCCTGAATCTGAAGATCTGTGATTTTCCCTATACCTGGGATGTTTTCTGCTATTATTTCATTGAATATGTTTTCAGTGTCATTTCCTTTTTCCTCCCCTTCTAGAATACCCATGATTCGGATATTTGAGTGCTTAAAGTTGTCTGTTATCTCTCTTAGATTTTCTTCAATTTTTAAAATTTTTTCTTTTTTCTGGTTTGCCTGTGTTAATTCAAACAGCCTGTCTTCAAAGTCAGAAATTCTCTCTTCTGCTTGTTCTAGTCTGCTGGTTAGACTCTTTGTTGTGTATTTTATTTTGTGGAATGAATCCTTCAGCTCCACAAGCTCTGCTACATTCTTTTTCAGGGCATTGATTTCTTTGTATATTTCTTCTTTCAGATCCTGTATGTTTTTTTCTCATTTCATTGTGTTATCTAACTGAGTTTTCTTTTATCTCATTTAGTTTCCTTAGAATTGTTGCTTTAAATTCCTCAGCAGTCATTTCAGGGACTTCCTGTTCTATAGGATCTAGAGCTTGAGAGTTATTATTTTCCTTTGGTGGTGATGTACTTCCTTGGTTTTTCATATTTCTGGTATCTTTCTTTTGGTATTTAGTCATTGTGGCAGGGAGTATCACAGTCCACTAGTTCCACCCTGATGTCTGGCCTGGATCCTGAAGGGACTTCCAATTCTGGGCAGCGGGAACTAGCCTGGGCTGGGGGTCCCGCGGTGCCTGCCTCTTCTGGTGCGGCTGGTTCAGGGTGTGTGGACCTGGTGGCTCTTGGGCCTCTCTGGGCAGCAGGGACTGGCCTGGGCTGGGGTCCCGTGGCGCCTGCCTTTTCTAGTGTGGCTGACTCAGGGCATGTCTTTTTTCTGTGTTTGGAATTGAAGAAATACCTAGACATGGTCGATCTCTCTGTATTTGTTAGAGGTTTTCTCCAGTAAGCCTAATAGGTCATTAGAGAGCATTTGGACCCAAATCTGACACTTTTCTTGAAGTAGGTTCTTGTAAAAGTGCCCCAGAATTGAACTAGTCTAATTAAGTGTCTAGCACTAATATTAAAGGTAACTTTGTAGTTTTTGCTATTCTTAGTAGATTACGAAACATAAATGGAAAACAGGATTGGAAGGTCATAATTTTATGAAAAGAATTACTAAGTTTTGACCAAAAGACAAAAACTAGCAGAAAATTTTACATAAATAAAAGTATGTAAATAAAAGATACGTATATTTATTGTAACAACAGGCCAAAGAGATTTATTTTTGGAGGCTTTTTAATAATATGGCTTCTCTGTGCAATAGTAAATGTTTTTAAGGGACAGATTCTGCACGTAGAGAGATACACAGACCATCACGTTATATTTCTATAGGCTTGGATGGCCCAACAATTAACTTCAGGCTGTGAGATGAATTCATCCTACAGAAATATTTAAATTACCCACATGGTTTGTTTTTATGTGTCACTGAAGTACATTATACGTATAGAACAAAATGCATGAATCCTTACATGGAGTTTAAAATTTTTTCTAATTTGTCACCAACATTTAATAGTTGAGAGAAAGTTCCTACAAGACTTATTTTCCGACTTCTCTTAAAAGTCAAAGATTTGCCTGCACCACACTGAAGTATTTGCTTGGCAGCAGTTGGCTGGCACTGGAAAGAGCTGCTGCTGGGGCTGGCGGTTGGCTCTGAGGCCCCGGGGCACCTCCACTCACGAGTGCTCTGTTGCCTGATAGGCTTTTGCAGGTGTTGGAGTTTAAATCCCTGCCTTAAAGAAAAGAAATGGACCATCAGATATTAGATCTAAACAAAAGGCATTTAAAAATGAAAGACAAATATGTTGCTTTTTTAGAGAGTTGATCCTTTAGAAATCTTATATCTTTACAAGTGTAATACAGTTTTACAAAGAAAAAAGTTATTATTGAAAGTGTGTTAATTATAATAAATGCTATATAAATGTTTCAGATTTAGCCTCATAACATTTATTAGCCCAGAATTTTTATTATATAACAATCAAGTACAAAAATGGTCCATGGAGGATTTTTCTAAGAAAAGAGCAGAATTTGATTTTGAGAACCTTATGGTAATATAACAAAATATAAAGTATTATTGTCTCATTAATTTAAATTTTTTCCTCCAGTTTTGTTTGTCAAATGAGAAAATCATATGTACTTTTTGTAACTGCATAGATCTCAGCTTTCACAATCCATTTAGTTAGCATTCGTTGGCTTCCAGCTCTCTAGATGACATGTGCAGACCAATTCCTCCGCCTGTCTAATTTTAGACTCAGACTGTAATACAGTGGAGACACTGTAGCGAGCTCTCCTAACAGTGTTTCAACTTAATTATTTCCCCAATAGGGGAACATATAATTGTTTCAAATGCTCATTTTCAAGTGATTGTTAGTTTGAAACTTCAACATTGAAGGTATGTTTTAAGCTGTGGGAAACATGAAACTATTTCAGATCTTATTAAAGACTTTACATAGAATGGCTTTTTTGACCACTAGGGGGAAAAGCACCCAAGCAGCCTCTGTGAACAATGTCCCATTGTTAGGCTTGAAAGTGTGTTTCACAGACGGAAGGAATTTAGAAGAGAGTATTTCCCAATAGCAAAGTGATGTTATATTTTAAATAGAAGCACAGGTGGTTCTATCAGTCATCTTAATTCATTTGAGAGTTTTATAAAAATAAAAAATGACTTTTTTGTTTGCATTTACAGGCATTCAGCTGAGTGGATACTTACCAGAGGTGAAAGACCTTCTGCAGGCAGATCAGCTTGGGAGCCTGAAGTCCAATCCCTACTTTGAGTTTGTTTTGAAAGCAAATTATGAATATTATGTCCAGGGACAAATGTAACTTTTTCTAAAAATGGTCATTGTTTCTGAAATTTGTATGAGTGCACATTTATAAACATTTTAGACCTTAACTAGAAATTTGTATGATTTTATAACATGTATAGCTGATTTTTTTATACTTTGTTTAGAAGTAACATAAAATAGTTACCTAATTATAATTTTGGTTTTCAGTTACACGTTATCGTCTTTCCCCCCTTTTCTCCACCTGAAATCTTTATGAGTTGTTCCAGAACTTGCTACCATTGCTTTTTAATTTGGTCCACGGTCGGGAGATCTTGGCCTGGTTCTGGCTCCTCGAAGGCACAGATCACTTCCAGGCTTCAGTTTCTATAACTCTAAAAATTGTAGGACTGCACTGAATTCTCTCTGTAACTCTGGATATTGTGCAGCGAATAGAGTCTGCAGTGTTAGGTTTCCTAACCTATTTTGGTTAGGGATAGAAGGAAATATCTAGTAGGATAAATGTCACATTTTGCTGACTTATAATGGTACTATAAAACAAAACATTGGACCTGGCTCATGGGAGTTTGATAACCGATTAACTCATTGAGAACATTTTAAACTTTTCTACATAGATAACAAGTGAGTGTTAGGAAAGTATTTTAGTGAATGAAACATTTATGTGGCTTTTCACCATTGATAATAAGCTTATAGTATCAGCCTCGTGTATTTTCAGGGTGGTCTTCACTGGATTCCAACATCACCACAGTCTGCCTAACTAGTCAGAAGTACGGGGGATGCTGGAAACCATTGAGAGTTCTCCTGATATGGCAGCCGATATGGCTGGAGGGTGCTGTTCTCTCAGGGCATCTTTGTCCTGACTGGTGTCTTCAGTTCATTTTTATCTGGCTTTAAATAAAGACCAGAGACTGGACAGGGAGTTGCTGGCACAGCCGCGCTCTGGCCAGTTGAGTGCTCCCTGACCAGCTTGCTCCAGCAGCTGAAAGGTCAGAAGTTAAACATGATGAAGAGGGTCCGGTTCCTGGTTTCGCAGAGTCCAGCCATCGTGGCCTGTTCCCCTGCGGGGTTTGGGGCCAGCCCCAGGGTGTTTGGAAGAGCAAGTTATGGGAGGAAGGACGTCAGCAGCCTGGCTCTCTTTAGGGCAGCCTCAGGTCCAGGCCGGGAATATGTTGAAGTTGCTGAGAGAAGTTGGGAACAGCAGCGTGCCAATGGCTGGCAGGAAGTTGTCGAGCGCTCATGTTACAGGTGAGGCTTTGGTTTGACGCAGACACTAACTCGAGTGTCTACTTCTCACCTGTGTGACCCTGTCAGGTCAATGTCCTCTGGGGACACACAGGCTCCTGCTGCCTTCATGTGCCGCCCGCAAACTTCTTGTCCTTTGTGCGTCAGGAGAGCACTGCGGGAAAGCCGAGCTCATCACCTGCTGGGCTCGTGGGTGTGGAAGGGCGGCTGTCACGGTGTGCGGTGTGGTGCGGTGCAGTCGTTCTGTTTTGAGGGAGGGAAAGCTGGTTGTCTCCTCTGTCTCTTACAGTCAGTAGCTAGCACCAAAACGGTTGGGTTTTAAAGATTTTTTTTTTTTTTTGCCTTTTTGTCTTTTTTTGTGACCGGTAACGGGATCGCAGCCCTCAGTGTCATGCCCGTACCGCGACTGGCAACGGGATCGCAACCCTCGGTGTCGCACCCGCACCACACTCAACCAGTGAGCGGACCGGTCTGTATATGGGAGCCGAACCCTTGGCGGGAGCGCCGCCACAACTCCCAAACGTCGCACCGAGTGCGCCACCGGGCCGGCCCTTAAAGATTATTTTAACAGTGAAAATGAAATTAAAACTTAGGGTTTTGAATATTCTTCTCTCCTAAATTTTTATTTTTTTATTTTTAAAATTCTTTTGGTGGCTTGCTGGTACAGGGATCAACCCCCGGCCCTCGGTGCTCTCAGCCCCACGCCCTACCAGCTGAGCTAACTGGCCGGCCCCTCTCCTAACTTTTTAAAATTGGCTTCACAACGTAACATTCATCAGTGACTGCTGATGACCGTAGAGATATGGTGTGCATTCTCTGCGGGAAATGTCATTACTGACCTGGAAAAGGTTCCTCTTCACTCGTCCTCGAGTGCTGCTCTGAGAGTCCCAGTGTGGGGCCCTGACAAAAATGACAGCCAGACGTTTTGACCGTGAGCAAAGGGGAGTGTCCAGCAGGCGTTCGGAGCGGCGTGTGAGGGTCTGTGCACGCGTGGGGAGTCCTGAGGAGGCGCAGGAAGGGGCTTCTGCAGTCCTAGTGACGCAGAGCCTGGGGACTTCCGGTTTTAAAGACAGCTTTTAAAGATCAGATTATGTTTTTTTTCCCTTTTTTTTTTTTTTTTTACTTTGGGGTGTGAATCACCGTTTTCCTAACAGGCACCGACGAGGGACTGTCTGCAGGTATCGGGGCGTGCAGCTCAGCTCTCACTTGAGGCTGCCACCTCATCACTGCTGTCGTGACCCAACACTTGGGCGTTGTGAGGCTGACCACAAAAATATTAACGCCAGGGTCACGGTTCGGATCCCATCGCAGCCAGTCACCAAAGAAAAATTAGCATGCCCCACCTACTTCCTCCTGAACATTTTCTCCTGAGATTGCCTAAAGAGAAAATAACCCACTCATTAAATACAAAAATACATTTAAAAAAATAATGATGTGTACTTTTTATTAGGAAAAAAAATACTTCTCTAGATTCTGAAAAAAATAAATACTACAGAAAATAAACTTATTAAAAAGACATGTGGAAGGAATTAGACCCCCGAAATCCCACGAGAAATGACACTTGTTACCATTTTGAAGTATATTTTAGGGTGTTCTAGACTGCGTGTACTAGTTTATGGTTGCCACGTATCTCATGTTGATATTGTGAGCATTTCTCTGTAGCCTTCAGCTAGTGTTTCTCAACTTTCCCCTTCATTATCATCCCTCCTAAGGAGCCTTTTTAGACAGTTTTTCCTACTCACCTCCCACCCCAGTGGAGGTTAGCTGCACAGGGCTGCTCTGCACCTTTTTACGTGCTGTGGTCTTCGGGGGCCACAAATAGTAATAGCTAAGTTTTTTTCGCTTCCTAAGAACCACTTTTGCCTCCTTTGAGAAGGAATATCTTAAATATTCCTCAAGATTTGAATTTTTGATGCCTGCCTGGCACCACTCCATAGCTACAGTGTAACCAACAGCTTGTGCTTTCTCTCTCTCTCTGTCTCTTAAAAATTAAAACACGTGGGTTGGTGAACGTGGAAGAGATCCCTTGGGGATCTGTTATGTTTCCAGAAGCAAAGCAAGTGTGGCGGAGGAGGAAAAGCTCTGGCCCTGCCCGGCGCCTCCTGTAGAAGGGAGCCACCCACGGGCTGCTGGGGAAAGAACCAAACGAGGAGGACCCACCTGCCTTGTTTACCTGAGGATAGTTAAAAGGATTAACTGAAGCGTGGAGGCTTTGAAAGGTTCATGCTTAAGCTGATAGGAAACAGTCTAGAGAAGGCCGAGACGGCAGGATTGGGGTGTGGGTGTGTGAGGAGTTGAGAAGTGACATGTGGGCTTGGTGGCACAGGGCCTGTCGGGGTGTGGAGAGCCGAGGCGTGTGCACCTGCACGCTGAAGGCAGGACCACTGTCCAGCCTCCCCACGTGGCTGACCTTTGCTTAGTGGTGGTTCTCAGAATGCTGTGCAGGCAGTGACCGCCTGCTCAAGTGGCAGAGCTGCGGTGCTCCCCAAGAGTCCCCATACAGAGACACGCTCTTCTGCCCACTCAGCGGGTCTGTTCTCTAAGCCAGTGAGAGCTCAAGACCAGAGTGGGACTGCCACTGCCAGGGGCTGTGTAAACCAGCCCGGTCAGGTGGGCAGAGAGCAGATGTGTGGGACGGCCTGCCCAGGGTCCACCTGCCCGCCGCGGCGTGCCGCACCAGCAGGTGTCCCTCAGCGTGTGTTGTACCCAGTCAGCTTTCCATGTGTTTGGGTCTCACAGACTCAGCTTAGAGAAGCTGCTGTAGGGAAGCT